CTCTCTCAAATGCATGCTCTCCAAGTGGGCATCAGCCTCCTTCGCTGCCATGGCAATTATGCCTGTCCGATGTGCCCGTTCTCCATGTCCTTGACCCTGAAGCATCTCCAGCAGCCTATGAATACTCTCATCTCGTGCCCCCAGTGTCTGCTTCTGAGAGTTGATCCTCATCTCCATCTCCTCCATAGTCTTCCGCAGCAGAGACAGCTCGCTGGCTTGACGCTCATGTTCTGACTGCAGTCGGAAGAAGTTTTCCTCTGTTGAATCCTGAGGAGGAGGTGAGGAAAAGCCATCACACCCGGGCACCTGACAGGGGCTACAGGGACGACAGGGGCTAGAGCTGGGCACTACTCCTGGGCCTTGACTGGGGCTGTAGAGAGATTGGTTTGGACTATACCTCTGGCCAGGCTGAAGGGTGTTGGCTGGGCTAAGTCTCTGTGTGGCTGTCAATGTGTTACACCCATAGCCAGGACTGTGAATGATGATGTCAGCCTCTTGTTGCCTTGGATTGTAGGTGTTAGACGGGCTGGCTTTGGGACTGTTCTTTGCTCTGGGACTGTGCAGGTTTACAGGACTTTGTCTGGGACTGTGTCCAGGGCTGATCTCCCCTCTGAACTCCTGGTCCATATGGTGTTCTCGGTAGCAGTTGCCCTGCTGCTGTTGTTGCCGCAGACGACTGTTTGTTTCTCTGTGAGCTCTCAGCTCCTCCTGTAGCTCCTGCACTGTCAAGGGAAGCTGCTACAAACGAAAAGTCAGATTATTTCGGTAGTCATACAAACCAGCTACAGCCAAAATAGAGCATGACGCATAAATACACTTATGTACAAAAAAAGCAAGAGTTACATAAAAAGAGAAGATGAGACAGACCTTGTTTCTTCTCATATCTCCCAGCTGTAGTAGAATGTGATAAAACAAACACAGATAAATGGGGTCCAAGTCATCTTGACTTTTTCAAAGTTGCTGGGTGGTAGTTACAAAACAACACCACAAGAGGGCGGGATGTATCTTAGAAACACATGCAGAAGGTGAAAGATAATGTAGGAAAGGTTTGTTTGTTGATAAAGAAACATTAAAGGGTGGAAAATCAGTTTAAAGATGAATTAAGTCTATATAATATGAAAAAGATGTATTTTTGCATGAAAATTAATGGACATAAAGCATTGTTTGAAAGAAACTGAAGTCAATTGATAAATCAAAGAAATTGGAGTTGCACCCAAAAAATGGGTAGTCTTACGAAATAAGAAATGGCTAATTTCAAAATATTATTGACAATAATGATCTTCTTTTAATTAGAAAATAAAACACTATTTAAATGTATAACACTATAAAAACCTGGATATCTATGCCATACTTTTGTTTTCCATTCCACAGAGAGAGTGAAAATGGGACATGTCTAGTTAACTTCCAGTGACTATAAACAGCAAGTCAAGTTATATAAGATTTCTAAAGATTTCTAAATGTCATGAAGCTGAAAATGAAAGTTTAATAATATCAAACTTAAAAGTTGAAGAGAAAGATATCAAAGGTCATCCACACACGTTTTAATAACTCCCTTATGAGAAGATTTATAACTTTCTGTGGCAGCTGTGTGTCATTTTGTTTGTTTTGGTTTAAGTGAATCTTAAGTGAAACCACCTAAAACCTGAGAATATTATGTAATGCTTTCACAAAGATTGCCAGAAGCAATAATTATTGTTATTGCAGGAACAACCATGTGGTAACTCAGAAGATTCCCTTGCCTTTGGGCAGTATCAATGTCTAGCCCATGTTTTAATCCAGAATATCATTTCAGTTTATCTGCTGTGTCTTGCCAGTTCCCTCTTGGAAAAGAGATTCCAATCGCACCGAGGCTTTATCTGCTTAAATAAAGGTCGAGTAAATAGATTTGCTTAACATGCATAGATTATTCTGCACAACCTTGGAAGTGCAATTGATCAAGTGAATTTTGAAAAAAAAAAAAAAAGGATGGACATTTGAAGATGAAAATGAATGTGAATTGTTAAATAACTGTATTATTTAAAAAAGAGAAGTCATATATTCAGATATTCAAACAACGGAAAAATATGGTATGCATTGCTTTAGAATACATAAATATTTCATCCCTAAATATTGTACCATTGTTAAACATAATGGAGGGAGTGCCGTGGAATCTATCGATTCTAAAGATCCCAAAGTAGAAAGGTCTGGATATTTTTTTTACCTTAAGCTTAAATGCCTTTAGATAATGCAGAAGAACAACAATCCAACACAAGCTGTATTTTGTATAAATTTACTTTGCAGTAGATTTAAATCCAATTGAGATGCAGTGGCATGACCTCAAAGAAGCCATGAAATCCCTCCATTATGACCAAATTCAAATAATTGCGCAAAGCAGATTGGACCAAATATCTCCACAGAAGCTTAGGAAAATCAGTACCAGTAGTTTTTGCTGTCAAAGTAGCAGAAAGTTATTTGGTTTTGGAAAGTATTTCTTTTGGCCATTTTGCCCCTCAAAAGCCTGGGGCTAAATCTTAATACATGAAACTGATAAGGAATGTTTAGCTTAATGGGTGTGCATCAGCAGTCACATGATACTGCTGTCCAAAAAATAACTGGCAGAAAAAAAAGGTCATAGGCTACTTCTTCTTCTAGGCTATACTATCAGTTCAGCAGGGAGCATGCAATGTCCCTAAGAGGCTCTATAGAGCTGTAAGGAATCCCACAATGCTTTGTGTAACAGGATGTATAAGTGCAGCCGAACAAATAAAGTATCACTACACCCTGTGTGTAACACATGCGAATGCAGACATCTGTGTATGTTTTGGTTTGTGTAATGGAAACCTTAACCATGTGCTACATTTGTGTTACTGGTGTTTTTCGCAGTTCTAGCATGATCTATGTTCATATCCATAGGTTAATCCCCAATTTACACTTAGTTTATCACTGTTTCATCCTGCTTCAGTGTAAACTTCTCCCCCTTCTCCTCCTAATTTACATTATGTTCATTTGGAGAGAACCTCTCGCTGCAAGGCAACTGTACTACAAAGGGTGCCACTGTGCTGCCCACTGTTGGTATCTGATAAGAGATTTAGTTTTTAGTGTTATAATAAAATACAAATAATTGTGTTAATTGGTTTATAGTAGTAACTGTAAATGAATCACGCAGTTATAAAGCAAAAATTCTAGTCAAATGCATATTAATAAAAAAAATTAAAAAATGTAAAATTATTGTCTAATCATTTTTCGGCTTGTAGAGTCCAGTTAACCTTAAGGAGACATTTTGTTTTTACTGAAAATATCTTTACAAAATATTAGACCCTTTATGACCAAAACAATGTTTAATGAGCAGACTGACACCTACGTAGTTCAGCGCTAATGCATCTATAAGACTGTAGCCTATTTTCCCTGAATGTACTTTGGGTCGGAAGTTCCTGCTCTGTTTCTGCAGATGTGACATCAAGCGAGTCCAAGTTAAACGGGTTTAAGTGAAGCATAATGTTCCACATGATTTTGCGGATACTAAGAAGCGACCGGCATCCAGCTAATCAGATACCAATGACAACTCCATTTAAGGTTTTTAAAAAAAAGGTCCAAAAAACTTTTCAAGTATGAGTGTGCACTGAGAGAACAAGGCTACTCTATCCATTTAAAGCCTGGACCATGAAATAATACATAAAAAAATCTTTTCATTGAATTTTTGCACAAACGAAAGAAAAAAAAAAACATAATTTTTTGTAAAACTTAAATTAGATCACCTATTTTCATCAATGTATTTATAAATTCGGCATTTCTGTTTAATCTCTAAAGATAATCTGTTCACTAAATATGTCTGATTGTGTTAAGTCAGGGTTTTCAAAAAAATATCCCACTTATGATACAAATGTCTCAAAAACTCATTGACCAAATATGATACATTTGGCTTTAAAGGATTAAATTAATGTTTCAGAGTAATGAAAACAGCAGGCTGACAAATTCCCCAGTATTCCTTTGACTTGGGTAAAACTAACCCTGGGGCTTTAAACTCCAGTGCTTTCAGAGGAAAAGGCCTTATTTTTTTGCTTGATACATGAAATCCTCATTAATATCCTCATTTTATTGACAACTTCTTTTAGTGATCTGCACTATTAACGAGTGGAAAAAATAACACAAATTGTATGGAATCTGCATATGTTTCAGATCATGTAAATTTTCAGACCCATCTGATGTTTATTTTTTAAACGGCCATCACAACAGACATCTGTAATTTGTTTCATTTGAGCAATTAACTATTTATTTTTAACTGATTAGAATAAAACTCTAATATACTGCCCCTGATAGTAATTATTTGTGGAGAGCCTTTACTTGCTTTTCATGCTAACTCTCTAATTTCTCTGCTCCTGTCCAGAAGGTGGGGAGTGCCAAGGACAGAGTGGAGATGTGGAAGAGCGAGGGAGTTTATGGATAATCAATGCAACATCTCGCGCTGAATATTAAATTAGAGTGGGAGGACAGTCCTCCTCAAAAGCACACACAACTTAGACTGTACTACAAGTACAAAAATACTTATGTGAACACATACACATGCACACATCAAACCAACATGCACACCAAACAAATAAAAATGGTCAGATGGATGAAGGTCAAAGAAGAGCAGATGAAGAAAAAGGTGACATTCCTTAGACTGAACTGTAATAATCTGATCTGACTCACCAGAGACTAACAAAAAGATAGGAAATTTAAAACAAATGAGCCCGGTGAGAAATGGAAAAGAAAAATTGGAAAGAAAACGATAAACTAAATTGGAGGTAAGGGAGACGATAGAGGTGACCTTTCTTTTTAGAGTTGGAAACGCTGGTAGAATGTCAGTTTAGACCTGAGGAAACAGGTTCACATGGCTGCTCTTTAATGAGCAGTCTAATCAATATTGGGAAGAAAATTGAGCAGCTGTTGGCGGGTGTATGTGAAAGACAGACAATAGCAGAGATAGAAAGCAAGAGGTGGTTAAATGTTAAATATAATGAACACAGTTTGCTTTTAACATTTCTTTCAATGCTGCCACTGCAAACTACATAAATTAAAGTAAAACAGTAAACTATAAATCAGTTGGAAAGTCAAACTGACTGAATGGATTTATACTGTATGAGATAGATACTGTAGTTGTAAATGACCTTTTTCACATGGTCTAAACAGATTGAGCTAATTTAAATGCAAGGGTGCAATCAAGGACATGTCAACTCAACATATTTCTGGAGAAGCCTAAAACTGTTAAGCAGCACTTTTTATAAACATCTATTTGAGAGCAACACCCTGCTGCATGCATTGGTTTCTAACCAAGTCTCTTCTCCTTTTAGAAATCGCTGAATTTGTGTGTTGCAAATCTGTGTACAATCACAGTGTCCTAACACCTTTATGACTAAGTGAAATTTAAAACTTATAAATGCAAACACAGAGTCACCTTGGATAAAACAGCATTTCTTTTTTTTTTTTTTTTGCAAATATAGGGCAACAAAAACCCAGCCTGTGTACTTTGTGAGCCCTAAATAAACTTTTTTTTGTCTGAATAACATTAGCATATAGAATATCCTTTGAAAATAGGCAAACACTGACACACCAAGATGTAAAATGTCTGATAAAGAGATAAATGGAAGGGCAAAAATATAAAAAACAGAGAGAGAGGATAAACAAAGAAGAGACACTAGACAGCGGCCAAGCACTGGGTGTGGCAGACAGATGGATGACACCTCAGACTCCGGGGGAGAGACAGCACAGGACAGCCTGGTCACCCTCGCCTCAGCAAAAGCTGTGAGCCCAATAAGAACATCTTGATTGGATGCCATTAGGAGCAAGTTCCCATGGAAACACATGAAGGCAGGATGGCAAACGTTACATCTGAACAACACCAAAGCTTTTTCAGTGTAACCTTGAAGATGAGAACGAATGGAATGTTGACAGAGGAAGGATTTTTCTGAGATGAACACAAAACGTTTGACTCATGAATTAATTCACTAAAGAAACCTTTTCACATTCTGTCAGATTACAATCACAATCGTACATGTTTAATGTTACATGTTTAGAATATTTTGGGTCAGACCAACACTAAGGGGCCCACAGTGGTGTGTTGGTTGATGAAGTGATTTTTTTAACACATAACTTTTATAATATATAGAACTGTATTTAGCTATACCAAACAATATCTAGAAATAAGCTAACATTTTTGTCAAAAGTTGTGCATTTTATGCAAAGTTACTTTCATCTGCTTTAATAGATTTATTGGGATAATTATTAAATTCCTCTATTATCTTTAAGACACCAGACTAATTTGCCTTTAAAAGGACCTGGAGGACAAAATTTGATTCTATGAGGAATAACTTGTACACAAAAGCAGAACTCCAGAAAATATTGGCAAAGAAAATCCCAATTGGTATTTCTCTAATAATTCAGATTAGTTTTTGACCATTTCACACGTGTTCATGTTTAGTTTTTTTTGTTGTGTAAATACATTTATGTTTTGATCCTTCCCCCTCCATTCCTTATCCTTCTAATAATGTTGAGGGTCTTTTTGTAAGGTTAAACCGTGCTGCAGCTTTAGGTATTTTGAAACATCAAATATCTTTAAAGGTAACCCTCAATTGAGCTCCATTCATGTTCCATCAATTGCTTCCTCTTCCCTTCCAAAGAAAATCATCCCAAACAGCATTATGTCCTCAACACCATGTATGTGTCTTGTATGTTTTTGTCTGATCAGAGCAGGGCCACTCCTTAATCTTTCTATGTCTACAGTATTGGCTTTATTCCTGCCTTTCTTCCATAAAGGGTACCTATGTAAGCTACTCAGCTAACGCCTGTCTTGTTTGACAGATTCTCTGTCCTAAGTATTGGATTTCTATTACTTCTCCAGAATTATATTTTAGCACGTTGTCTTATTAATGTCCACTTATCTCCTTTTCCAGTCTGTTATTTTATATGGATTGCAATATCTTGGTAGGTCTCTAGTTCTGCCATAATCATTTTATTTTTTATATGATACATTGAAAGGTGCTTGATGAAATGTTCAAAGATTAATTCCCAAATTGTGTTATGTTTCTATGGTCTCCATGATGCTGCTTGTTTCTTTATATTCTGTAACAAGCCACTGATTGTGTGTAATATTTAACTTAGGAAGGCAAAATGATGTATTACATGTTGATTTAAAACCAACAATCCCAATAAAACACATTGAAGTTTAAAGTTGTAATGTGACAAAATGTGTAAAAGTTAAAGATGGGTCAGTACTTCTTCAAGGTACTGTGGTTGTTTACTTTCTCACCAGTATATCTTCTTGGTTCACCCTGCATGGCTCCCTCAGAGCTGGCGTCCTTACTCCCTCCTCACGCCTACTCCCCTTGTCTCTCTTAACATCCGGGCTCCAGAAATTAACACTATTCGTGCCATAGCCTGTCTTTCCATCCCTTCCGCCGTCCAATTCTCTCCGGAGACTTTCATTCTCCCTCTGCAGATCCCTCAGCATAGCCTGGAGATCGTAAGTGGAAGCCTCTCCCCGATCAGCTGAATCCACTGTTTGGGTGCATCTTCCTGACTGCCGGCGTAAACTGGAAGTTCCTGTACAAACTACAGTTTGGTCTCCACATGAGTCTGATATGTGATGCATACCAGAGGCTGTGATGTTTGGGGTGCTTCCACTACCTATTGTGCGACTGCTGTAAGATAAGCGTTTGGTACTCCGGCCTAACGTCATGGTGCCTTTTGGGTACCCGCCGGAAGGTTCCAAGGACTCCCGCTCACTGGGATACATGGTTCCAGAAGTGGCATATGCAGCACTTAGGGACTGGATATTCTCCATGGACAGGGTTTTACCCCCCGGAGCTGTTGCTGAACCACGAGCTGAGCCTTTTTCTGCTGCTGATGTACTGATTTTGATTCTTGAACCCGGCTTTGAAGCTGAACCTTGTGCCCCGGTCAGTTTAGCTGCCGGTGGAGGCCCACCGCTTGACACAGAGCCAGGCTCAAGTCCTGAGCGGTACCCAGGACCTGATGTGACTGCCTGTTTGCCTTTTCCCTGTTTCGCAGACCTCTGAAAGCGTGATTGAGATGTGCTGCCATCATTGTGCCCACTACTCTTTGCAGCAGCAGTCAGCTTGCTGTGTGAGGGCTTGGCTCTTATGTTTAAAGGCATAATTTTATTGTAAAATATAAAATCTGGAAGGAAATAGTTGATGGAATAAGAACAAGCAACAGGAATAATGAAGAGCACTTAATGGCCAAAACTTTTCACTTGTCCATATCCGACTGTGTGGAGACTGAGCTGTATTTAGTCTTCTTCGAAGAAAGAAGTGGAGACTGTTGGCAGTGGGGCTCCTAGAAACATTGGCAGGATGTCTTGTATTTTCAGCTATACTGTAGGACATCGTGAATTCTAGGCAGCAAAACGCAAGACAGACATACAGACAATACAGACATACAGAGAAATGCGAAGAAATCAGGAGATTAAAAATGATAAAACTAACATATCAATATTTACAATTTTCAGCTTATGCTTCAATGATTAATTTAAAAAGAGGATTAAAGTTGTCCATTCTACTTGACAACCTCAAGCGTAGTACCTCATTAGACTCTATTCCCAATATATACAAGTTGGGGGAACAGAATATCAAAATCAGAGGCAGAATACAGAAAACAATAAACTACTCTTAAATGCTACCTTATTGCATATGTATCCCCGGCTCAATGTCCAATAGCAAAAGACAGAATGGATGTGTATGTGTTTGACTATTTTAGCAACACAGAAAGCAATAAGTGAGATTATTGAAGAGGACCTGGACTTTTGTGTCTGCAGAAGTCTGACCAAAAGAGATAATATTGTGCACAATGCTATGGCCTCTGGAGACTGCAAAGAGAATTGAAGGACCACTTTCCATTAGCTCCCATCCCTCTGGGCCAATTGCAAATTCAAAGTCAAACTTTAAATGGAGTTATATTCTGGCTTTAGCTAAATGCAGGAGACATAAAATAGAATTTAGGCCAAGTGTGTTCCTATTTGATTAAATCAATCATACAATAAAAATATCTTATCACTGTCTGTGTCGGTATAATATTTGGTGGTAACATAGAGGCTTGTTGGATTTGATGCTTTAAAAAGCCAGATAATTCTCACAACAGAACAAAAAATAGCCTAGGGGCATTTAAAGAAAGCTAACCCAGTTTGTTGGGAGAGCAGACATTGAGAACTGACTATAAAGCAGAGGCAAATCCAATTCATAATCCCTCCTCTGATCTAAGAGGATTGGGTGCTGGGAATCCCTGAACAAGATGCAACTGAGAGACTGGTTTGCTCTGCCTGTCAATCATAACCTGCCAGTCAATCCCTTATTTATTATGGCCTGGGACAATAGACAGAGTGTCCTGCATACAATGGAACCAGCAACCTTAAGGTGGGCCTTTAGACAGCAAGAATGCAGATTTCATTGTCAGACAATGCAGAAATAAAATTTAAATATGAATTATAAAAAAAAGAGAGAAGCACCTATAGTTTAGAGCTCATTCCTGTAGCTCTATTACTTTACCAAACATATTAAAATGGAGATTTCAGACGTGTATCGTTCATTATGGTGATTAGATAGGTTTATGCAGCTGTGAGGCTATATATATATATATATATATATATATATATATATATATATATATATATATATATAAAACATCTCCAAACGGGAAAAATACGACCACAAAAGTGGTGAATTTTAAATCTTATTAAATCAGTTCACAAGTGCCTGCAGCTGAGTTAGGAGACAACCAGCTGTTGCTGCGGAGAGTCAGCGCGCTCACTGCAAAAACAGAGTTTAAAGGAATGACAATTTCCTTTGAATATTATTATAACCAATGAGTTTTAATGAGCAGTTTAACACAGTTTAAAGCTGCATAAATGAACAAGAAGCGCATATAAGTGGAGCAGTGACCCTGCCTTTGACAAATACCGACACAGACGCCACAATCATTCTACTACGACCCCGGCATAAAGGATTAGATTGTTGCACAGATATGTGGCCGCACGAGTCCGAGCTTCTATCTTACATAAGAAATAATCTGTCAAGCAAACTGACCGCATTCAATTAAATTTTTCTATTAAAGCATCGTACAACGGTCCCACCTTTAAAAACAAAAAGAAGTCCAGGAGCGCACTTAACGCACGGCTTCATCTTACCGGACAGGAAGCTCTCCATCACCGAGCAGTCCTGTTGGCCGTATCCCGTCCGACCTCAGGCTCCATGATCTCATCGGCTCAGCTGTGACCTGTCCTACGAGCGGGACCGCGTGGTTGTGCAAACCCAGCTGGCGCGTGCGGGTGGATTGGCGAGATGGAGTGGTGGGGCAGCACGATGTGGCAATGAATTTGCTTTTCTTCTTATCGATTTATGCATTAATATGACGGAAAATGATGAATTAGTGTATTAACCACAATCTGTTTGGATAGCATTTAAATACAGGTAAATACGTTCACTCCAACAAAAATAATATCAAAAACAAGAAAAAAAAAACTTAACTTAAAATACATTAGTTAATACTTAAAACTGCAAAAATTAGGCATAGGAATTTTTAAGTTACTTTATAATGCTTTTATTCGTATAATACATGAGTCAAAGGCAACGAAGCATACATACAGTCAAATTTACTTCAAGGGAACTATGAACATTTTCATTTTTATGTTCCATAACTTATGGATTGACTAAATTTAGTTTCTATTTAGTTGTCAAGGTATCCGACGCTCATAGGTGTCTGTGGGGGAAAAGCACAAATAATGCTTTTAGACAATCGAGTCTTCACAGTTTTAGAGTCTCGTGAGAGTTATTTGCTTGTCGGTGAAACTGTACGGCCCCCTAGTTTTTAAGCTTGCTGGTGTGCTTTGTAGCAATGCTTTGTGCTAGTTTCGCTACTAATTCATTTTTTAAAAGTCATGCAAACCGTCTTTCTGTTTTTTTTTCTGCTGTGTACCAGTTAGTTCTGGCCCCTTGCTGCCTCTGGCTGGCGGTGCAATTTGTTTTACGCTGCGTTTAGCAGATTTCCGTTCACTATTCCTCCACCTTCGCACACTCTGCTTTTTGCTGTGAACTGCTGGAATAAGAATTTTATATGGCATTTAATAGGTGAGGAAATAGATTTGACACTGTATAAGCTATAGTACGATGCTGTTGAATTAGATTTCTTCGATGTTTCTGCAAATTTTTTCTGTCGAGCCGTCTACTCCCCTTACCGTGTTTTGACCGTTTGATTCCTTTCATTGCAGCGTTTCAGTCGCAGCATGTAGGTTTTTTCAATTTTTAGAGGAATCTCAAACTGATCTGCTGAACTTTTTCTCCATTACTGCATGAATCTTATGCGTCAATTTTGTTTACGTATGCTTCTGCCTTGTGCTGTCTCTGCAGTAATAGCAGTCTCCACTGTCAGATTCGGCACTTGACTCTCGAACAGTTTCTGGTGTTTTAAGGCCGGACTTTTTGTGAGTCTGCTTGATTCGCTTTATATTTACTTTTTCATTTTTTTGCTTGGCATTTGATGTCATACGTCTGTGTGAACCTTAGTATTCCCTTGAACTTCGTTTTTTCCGCTTTGCTCTTTGTCTTGACGTATATTCAACCTTCATTGTACTATTTCCCTCTTCCATCCCCAAGAATCGCTTCCTGTTTCCTCACTACTCACGGCCCAAGACATTTCTCCATAAGCAGCTTCAAAACACGCGCCATGCACCAAACGACCATCCACATGCAATCTTTTCGACGATTTAACTTCACACTCATTAATGCATTAATATGACGGAAAATAGATGTATAATATTTATGAAACAATAAATCTGTTTTAGAATAGCATTTAAATATGGCAGGTCACAATATCTGTTTGATTCCAGCAGTATATCTAACAGAATATAAATTACACTATAAAATACAATTAGTTAGCATTACTTTAAAAATGCATGCAAAAAATAGGCATAGGGAACTTTTAAGTAACTTTTAATAATTGCTTTTTATTCGTACTAATACATGAGTAAAGCAACGAAGATAATCAAGTGGTATTTACTTAAAGGGACACTATGCAACATTTTTCAGTTAATTAATGTGTTCCATAACGTTATGGATGACTAAATGAGTCATTTCAGGTTGAACAAAGGTATTCTCGGCCGCCCTGGTGGTCTGTGGGGGAAATACTGCACTTGCAACTGCAGGAGCACCGACCCGCACCCACAGGCTCAGAAGTCTCGTGAGAGTCAGTCTTGCTTTACGGCGAGAACTGCTACACGCCCCCAGTTAAAAGCATTCTCGTTGCTAGCACAGTGGCAATCTTTGTGCAGTTATGCTACGTTCACGCAGCAAAAGCAGCAAAATCGCGTCTGCTGCTTCCTTTTTTCTGCTTGTACCAGTTAGTTCTGACGCCCGGCTTTGCTGCTCTGGCTGCGCGGTGCAAAAGTGTGTCTGACGCGCGTTAGGCGGAGCTTCACTATCCTTTCTCTGCCTTGCAGCTATATTTGCTGTGATCAGTGGGAATAAAGTAGTTTTAATATGTGTTTAAGTGAGAAAATACACCTGAAAACGTAATCAGTGCAGTCAGTTCATTCAGATTATTATCCTGCCTGCAATATTTTTTCTGTCGGAGCCGCTCAGACCCCCACATACCAGCGGGGCGCCGACAGTATGGATCCCTTCATCAGCAGCGGTTCACCGCGGCAGCTGGTAGGTGTTTTTCATCTAAATAATCCAAACTGCATATTCTGCCGGCAGATTTCTGCATTTTAAGTTAATTTAGGCGTCAATAAACTGTTTAAGAGGAGTGATCATCAGCGCTGTGTCTCTCTCCCTGCGTTAAACGCACCCGACGCACTGCTTCAGCTGCTCAGACGCGCTGCGCCTGGTGCTCAAAACGCGCCGCGGGACCTTTTGCTGCGCCTTGACGCGCGTCAACCATTGACTTTGCATGTAAACTCGCTGCTTCTGTCGCGCCAGCTACGTCTAGTGTGAACGCAGCGTTAGTCATTCGCTGCTAAGCTCAAAACAACCGCGCCTGGCTTGACGGAGAAACCAGGAGAACAGCTGTGCATATTTACGACAGTGCACTTTTACTTTCGCCCTCTGGAGGGAGCCTCACTGGAAAATCAACACCGGTTGCATAGTGTACCTTTAATAACCTACATTAGATGTAATATTTACTAAATTATGACTACTAAGAATTATTTCTACTGTGCTGCTGTGTCAACAAATGCATAATTTTATGGATCAAAGTTGAGCCAACTTGAGATTTGTAAGTTATTTTTACTTGACAGTAATCTGAATTAATTGCTAGAAAAATAACAAACAAATTTCTCATAATTAAAGTATGGCTTGCCTCAGGTATCTACAAATAAATCAAAGCCAGTGTCCTATTTTATAAAATGTCTGAACTACTCTCACAGTCTTGGTTCTGTTATGTTTTCTTTTGAGTATTCAGTTTTGCTTTGCTCTATGTTTTCTAGTTTTAGTGGTTTAATTATTATTTTGTTGTGTTTTCTGGTTATTTTGAAGTTCCTGTCACAGTTCTGGTTCTGTTATGTTTTATTTTGAGTATTCAGTTTTACTTTGCTCCATGCTTTCTAGTTTTAGTGGTTTGATTCTTATTTTGTTCTGTTTTCTGGTTATTTTCAGTTTCCAGGTTCTCTGCTGCCCTCTTGCGTTTACCTTTTTCCCTAGCTCCTTTCTTGTTCTGCTCTGTTCACACCTGCTCCCAATCTGCTCCATAGACCGCTCTTTGTTTCAATCTCCCATAAATACTCACTCTGTGAAGTTCTTCAGTGCTGGTTCCTCGTCTAACTTCCTCCAACTCCGTCTCTCTGAGTCTTCCTCCTCGTGATTGTTTTCCCCCAGATGTCTCCTTGGTTTCTGGTTTGTTTGACTTTGTTTTCATATTAGATTTTTTGATTCCTGCCTCAGTTGTTTGTTAACTCTTCATTAAATCCACAAGAAACTCACCTCTGCCTCCCTGCCTCTGCGTTTGGGTCCACAAACCTCAACAAAATCCTGACAATTACCAATAAAGTCGTAGGGAAGTCATATTTAAATGTCAAATCATTCTGGCTTAAACATGTATATAAATTTACTCTTTATCAGACCAAAATTTAGAAAATTTATATTTAAAAAGAAATCCTGTCTTAAAATCTGTGTTGTGTTTTTTTGTGATCTTATGCAGGTCAGTTAGTTAAACATCAGCCTGTACACCTAAATTCGGCCAATCATATATTAACGTCATCTGTCAATCAAATTTTTCGGTCATAGCATCTTGATTCATATGTGGCAGCTGATTAACGCAACAGTTGAAATAATACCTTTAAATACTGTCATACTTTTAAACCTTTGTAACATGCCTATACGTATGACCTTAGCAAAAAGCTGCTAATGAACATACTGTGAGGAAAATCCCACCAAAGCAGCTGAATGTTGAACATAAGTAGACTGAATGGTGAAAATGAGCCTTAAGGTCTTTTAACTAAATTTAAGCCTTAATGTTTTTATATTTATGGCAAACGGTACCTGCAGTTTTTTTATTTAAAGTTGAAGATTGAAGTAATTATGTTTTTCAACATCAGAGTGAATCTGAGCAAAAAGAGAAAAAAAAGTAAATAAAGCTTTGAGATGACATAATCTTTAACTTAATCTAACCAGATGAGTGGGGTCATATCTGAAGGTCGTGGACAAAATATTGTCTTACAAGCCGACTTTCAGAAATCTGGCAAAGTAGTGCGGTCAACAGTCAAGATATAGGATACTGATTGTTCTTAAAAGGGGAGAAGGAATTCTAAAATACAGTGCATAGCTTATTCAACATAGTGCTGTGCCAGCTTAAGGGTGTACATAAAGGATTTCTTCACCTATTTAACAGTCTTAAATTACTACAATTGTTTGTATATATACTATATATAGTATTTGAACTAAATTAAGGCAGATTATTTAAACATATAAAGACTTTAAGTACAGTGCACCTGTTGTGTTCACTGCTGTTCATTTAGCAGAAAATATGTGAGAATAACAATTTATAGCCAGGAGTTTCACTCTCAGAAAAGATTTCCTGTAGGCAGATCATGAGACGAAAAGGTAAGTGGAGTTAGTGGACGTCATTGGGGAGAAATCTCACTGACTGTTGCTCTTCTATTTTAATATTTTATAAAACACAATGCTGGTACAGTTCTCACTAAAATTAGGGAGGGTTATGTCTTTTGTAGAATACTTATTTAAGTTACATCATCAGTCATTCATTACTAGTTTTTCTGCAACACGTTTTTATTGTAATAGACACATATATTTTTATATCAGTTGCGTTTATTTACCTTTTAACTTGGAAAGAGTTTGACTTTTGCTTTATTTGGCTAATGAGGATTTTGGTTTTTGATCTCTGTTACAAAATATTTAGGCTTTTCATTTCCTCACTATTAATGAGAAGTGAAACTATCAGAGAGGTGTGGGTGTTACGCAGGAATACCACAAAACTATACTCTTTTAATATTTATGAAATCAGGAAAGACAGTGTGACTTTTTTATAATTGTACCATAATGAAATGTAATTGTCTCCACTATACTAAGTGTAATATGCTGTTCAAATCCTGCTCCATAAGATTAAACATAACCCTGTAAAAATGAAAAACGAAAACCATATATATATATATATATATATATATATATATATATATATATATATATATATATATATATATATATATATATATATATATATATATATATATATATATATATATATTTTTTTTTTTTTTTTTTTCATGAATCAGAACGACATTTAACATTAATAGTCATATTTTGACATATTAGTGCAAATAAGATTAACTAGAACAGTGACCCAGGTGATTACATATTGTGTATAACAGTGTAGTTTTATCAATCAATGAATTACCTAAGCCAGGCTATCACACCTGTCTTCAGTCTTCCATGACAACCAATAACCGTATCAAGGAACATAGAAGTTATCTTCTAAACATACACACAGCTTAGAAAAAGGAGTTTAATACCATTAATAAAACTGAGTCTTTAAAGCAGGGACAAATTGAAATGTGTGAATTCTACAATACAATCTTATATTTCCTCTATTATTTTTTTTCCCTAATTACTTTTTTTTTTGTCACACCATATATAAATTTTATATGACAAGTAAATAATGAGTGATTATAAAATCCAATATTTGATAAGTGGAAAAAAATTATGCTTCTTGGCAAAAACCTTACAATGATTTATATGACATCAGGAAAAAATCCCAATCTATGTGGTTTAATACATGCTTCAAAAAAAAGGTTCAGAAAAAGGGGGAGTGTTGCCCAGTGGTTAGCGCAGTGCGCTTGTGCTCAGAGAAGGTTGCAAGTATCCGGTTTGATCCCCACAGCCTGCACTCTGAGGTTCTGAGCAAGACCTTTAACCTCACACTGCTCCTCGGGTGCTGCACAATGGCAGCTCACTGCTCCTCAAGGGGATGGGTCAAAATGCAGAGAGTAAATTTCATCACTGTGGGGCAATAAAGGGATTTACATTACATAAAAGTGATCACATACTGTCAAACTAGTCAAATATGTAGGGAATGTTTAATTGACAGAACCATACAATGCACTTTCTAGTACAGAATTTGGAAGCACAAAGTCTCAACATGTTTTTGAACAAGGGTTAATTCACTGATGATTTGATTTAAACACCATTTTTCTTTTGAAAAGTAACAAATTGTGAATTGTGTAGTTACTAAAACAGGCAATGAAAATGTTTAAATCTAATCATTAAACGGTATCAAACCTAAACGTTAAATTTATTCTTTAAAATATCCAATACCTCTGATTTAAACAATTCTAAAAAGAAAATGTAAAATATCCCTCCACATAGATTTAAAGTGCTGTAAGTTATTGTAAATACTTGATGACAGCGGGTGCTGCCAAGGCTGTAACAAACAATTTAAACAAAAATCAAAGAGCAATTATTTTTCCATACCATGCCAGGCTGCTCTTGATCACATGTTTATGTTACAACATTTTTTTTAATATAGTTTGTAGTTACACAGGGTATCTTTGTCTGATAATAAGTTAAATTTGATGATGTAAAACATAGGTGTGACTAGACAAGAAAAGCAAAACAAAAATGTCAATAAGGGACTAAGTATTTCAAAAGGACTAAGTATTCAGTTAACAAATAATTATATAAAACTTTCACTCATGTTATTATCATAAAATTTCAGGTTGTCTGATGACAATGCCATTCTCATTTGATTCCAGAAGAGGGGTTGAGCTCTTGGGTTTCTCGGCCAGGACAACACGGACTTCCTGCACAGTCTTTTTCTCAGTTGAAGGTACTTCAGTTTCGGAAACATTTCATCCAACAGAACAAGCACAGCTGCATCAACCTGAAATGGAAAGTTTTGCAAATAATTTAGGGTTGCGAAAAGATGAAAATATCCACAGCATCAAAAAAGAAAGAAAAAAACACCTTTTCATCCAGTAGTCTCTGCTGAACCATGAAGAAAGCCTGTCGTATCACACCGTTGACCATCTCAGTTCCATTTGGACTTCTGGACAGTACAAACACAGTCTTCACACTGCTGTGAACAGCACTGTGTAGATTATCAATGCATGAAAGTCCAGGTATCCAGTCCCTCTCTTCCAAGCAGAGAGAAAATCTTCTGTGGCCAGAGGATTCCAAATTAACAGTGAGCTCATTGTAAACCCAGTCCCTCACGGAAGGATTCTTGGTGTCAAACACCACAAAAGCATCATAGTGATTCCCTTTATCCCCACCAGACAGCTGAGAGTAGCCTTTGAGTCCTGCCCAGAGCACCTGTAAGCAGTACCATACATCCCAGCCGTAGAGATGCTTCAGCAGTGGAAGAGCAGTAAAAGACAAAGCCAAGAAAGAGGAGATGAGGAAGGCTAAGCTACCATATATGTCCTGGCAGGAATGTTGATCTATAGACAGGAGAACCACTCCTTGTTGAGATAATGGATATCCACAGCGCACTTGTGTTGTCAGATGAGGAATGTTTACTGGAGTAGTCCGCAGGTATTCAGCAAACCATGAAGTATTGCAGTCACATTCAAATGGGTTCTCAGCCAGGGTAAGTGTCTGAAGGGCACTGCCATTATGAAAGGGCGCAGGGAGATGCTGATGGTTTAACTCTTTAATCTTATTGTTACTGAGATATAAATGCTGCAAAGACTTTGCTTCTTTGAAGAAATTCTCAGGAATTGAGGTGAGATGATTGTAACTTAGGTCCAGAGAGGAAAAATGGGCTCCAAATTGTATTTCCTGCTGAATCAAATTATTCAGTAAGTTGTGGCTTAGGTTTAGGTGACACAAATTGCTCAGAACTGAAATGTTTTGCCAGGGAAAACTCTTCAGGGAGTTGCTGCTGAGGCTGAGGCTCTGGAGGCTTTCCGGAAGGCTACTAAGCAAATCTGCTGTGATGGAAAACAGGTTATTGTTGGAAATATCCAAGAATTTTAGCTTTGTTAGGTTCTTAAAAAACTGACTGTATGTGTTGTAGCCCGCATTCCACATAATGTCCAAATGATTACCATTAAAATAGAGGTACTGCAATGAACTGCTGATCAGCCTTTGATCTATCCGCATCCCAATGCCATTGTTAGCTAGACTCAGCAATTCCAGGTTAGACAGATTTCGAAGAAACTCAAAACGATGGCCCATGCCTCTCATCTTGAAGTGAAAGTCATTGTTACTGACATCTAATACCTTCAGTGTGGATTGAAGTTCTCTGAAAGCATCATCATGATAGAGATCCAGCCGATTGAAGGACATGTTAAGATAGACTAAATTTTTCATGTTCTTGAATTGCCCACCTTTCAATGTCTGACTCATGTAGTTGTAAGAAAGGTCTAAACAAACAGCATTTTCCATGCCAACAAATACTCTTTCATTGAGAGACAAAATATCATTTTGAGAGAGGTCAAACATGAGCTTACCCTCACAGTATTTTTTCTTAAAATGTATTAAGGATGGAATTTGACACTCACTGTCTTCAGTTGCTTTTGCCATATTAGATTGGTCAGATTGCCAGATGTTTTCCCTACTTCTTTCTTCTCTAACTGGTATAAATAGAGGAGTGTCTTGGAAATGACTCTGATACAAGTTCTGGTTCTGACAGCTGTCAGGTGCCACAGATCTAGATGATACAGAACAGCATGGAAGAAAATTTAGCATGTTTTGGGAGAGATCAATAGTGGTTAGAGACGGTAGCTGCTTCAGGGTAGTCAGATTGCACGAACTGATAAAGTTCATTCTCAGTTCTAGTGTTTTTAGATTTTTGAGTTGAGACAGAACGTCAAAACCTTCATTAGAAATAGTATGGAAAAAGTTTCCACTTAGCAAAAGATGTTGCAGACCAGATATATGTCCAATATAAGGAGAGAGATTCAGTTTTCCAAAAGTCATCTGTGGTTGATAGTTGTAGATGAGGCTTATCCAAGTGAGGCCTGTCAGCTCTCTAAAAAAGGTGCCATTTTGTATAGAAAATGCCAAGAGATTGTCAGAGATGTCCAGTCCCTTTAGGTTCTTTAGTGGCCTAAAAAGGCCATCAGGAAAAGTCTTTAGAGAATTCCCCCTTAGGCTCAGAAAGGTGATGGAGCTGTTTTTTGAATATAGTGAGTTTGGATGCAGTTGGAGAGGGCGATTTTGTGGACAAGGAAAGCAGGGTCTCGCCGCATGGTCACAGCGCTGACAGTTCCACTCCAAAGTCAGATTCTCGAGGGCGGTCAGGTTGGAAAATGCTCCATCTGGGACCTCAGTGATTGTATTTTCTCTTAAATCCAGAGCCTTTAGCGACGGCGGGAGCTCCTTAGGGACAGCAGTTACATTATTGTACCCTAATGTAAGTTTTTTTAGTTTAGGAAGCTCTTTAAAAACAGTTACATTTATGTAATAAGACTGGTTGCAGGGGTTAGCGTAATAGCAGTTTTTGGAAAGCAGCAGAATTTCAAGATTTGGAGCACTGATAGGGGTAAATATATTAAAGATGCAATTCTCCTGTAAGTCAAGAAAAAGCAAGCTTTCTGGTAATTGTGGTATAGATGTTAGGCTGTTTCCCGATAGATGTAGAGATGTCAGATTTCTAAGGTTCTTGAAGGCAAAGGGCTCAATTTCCATTTTGCATCCTTGCTGCTCAGGAAGTCGCAATTGACCAGGTTGACAGTTGCCTGTTATTTTTAAAATTTTAAGGCTTGGGACACCTGCAAAAGCATGGTTTCTCACTACTTGTAACTTAGTGTAACTCAAATTGATTGACACCACAGAAGTAGCCTTCATGAACGGGATGTGTTCTATGGGTCGGCTAGAACAGTCCACTGCGGTGGAATTTACATCAGCATCACATGGGAAAAAATGGATATTAATGGTGCTTCCATACATCAGAAACTGACTCATGATGAGTAGAACTTTCTCCAGGGCCTGAAAAAGTGTAATGAATTTCAGTCATCTACAGCTCATAAAATAATGTGGAGACTTGCAGATTAACTTAATAAAATCTATAATTACATTCAATAAACATTGCATGTAAGGCTTAAAGTCACTGCAAATACACATTTTCCTTTCCTAACATTTAGGCAGTTCTGTGACTTAGAAAAGGGAAACAAAACATTTCTATGGGTGGAAAGTGAAGGTCACTTACCATATTAGATTGAGTAGATCTTAACTGAACAGCTTCAGAGACATTAGATAGTTATTAGTTATTCCACTTGAAGAGAACAGAGGTTGTGAATGGTCCGAAAGGCTTTGCAGTAAAGTGAAAACAGGTATGCAGAAGTGAAACTGTGCAGTCTAATAGGCCTCAGTCTGATGCAAAACATGTGACATAAAACAAATGGTGGGATATCAACAATAGATTTAACTCAAGCATTACAAAATTTAAAACAGTCCTTGTTAAAGATGTTTTATGCAGTACCATATATGTATTTTTTTCTTTCAGATGCTGACTTTGTCTAAGAGAAGATTGTTGGAGGATAGTTTTAAGGGCTTAGCAAAAAAAGACTGATGGCATACTTTTCTCTATTCTGGTCATTTGCAAATGACTATGCTTTTGTAACTGACCTTAAACAGGACAGTTTTCATGTATTTTCATGTCAGGCAAAGATAGAAAAGGTAATGTCTTTTTAAAGTGGTGTATGCAAACTTCTGTTTCTTTATGTAAATAAGCACCGCACTTTTGTAGTAGCTTCTTCTATGTGGTAACATGTTGTCCACGGTGACATGTTAAAAAGAAGATAAGGCACACGTAACAGCTGGGAAAATATACCACTTCCTCAACCGCTTATAAAAGGTCTCTCACAGTCTTAACACACGGACGCACAGTGTGGGAAGTTTGGCGGCTACAAGGCCTCTTGTGGCTGCTCAGGTATATGGCAGCCTTGCTAGAAGCTGTACTTGTGTCAAACACAGATAACAGAAATCTTGTTGGCAGTAAGTTTACACATTAGATGTAGACAAACAAAGATGTAACCAATGTTTCAACGTAACATGGGTATGCATGTTACATTTATTTGGGGCATTCAGTGATTTAAAGTCTTCCAATTGTAAATGATAAAGCAGCATATAAGAGTATTTTTTTATATCTTAAATTGAGGCTGAATTTAGTCTTCTTCATACAGGGTTGGAATTTTTTTCCATACAAAATCAGAAATAAATACAATTATGACCAAAATAATTCACACTCATAGCTGGATTACAATTTTTATTATTTTCATTCAACCAACGTGCTTGTTTTAGACTAGAAATACAACCTTTTCAAGGAAAACCATAAAAACCGATGATTTAAATAGAACTGAATTCATTATTTTCAAATTGCCATATTTTGAATGTGCTAAGTATTTGATTACAGTTCACTTAAAATATAGCATGATTTACAACCACCTCATTGATCATGGAAACAATTGACATCACAGTGAAAAAATCCTTCTCATTGAAGCTGATAAGATTTTTGCATGTCACCAATTGGTAACTGATCTTTGGTGATTATTGCAAGTCAGAGTTTGGAAGGCCTTTGTGCTATCATCCTATTCTTAGGCACTGTCCAAAGTTTCAGATTCAAGTGCAGACTCTGGTCTCTCCAAAATGTTAATACTACTTGCATTGGTACTTAGTCTGTCTTCACTTGCATAATGATTTGATTGAAAGCTCTGAGATTTACATGTTTTGCTAGAGCCATGAGTAAAACATAGACTGTGACTATCAGATTTAAGATGTCCAAAAACAACCAAGAATCATAAACCCTCAAATTTCTATTCACTAAAAACAGTAAGATCCCCATTGTGATTTTCCACAGCATGTGAATTCTACTTTGCCAATGACTTTCACCTTTAGAAGGAAATTTTTGCATTTGCGTGAACAGGCTAAATGGCATATGAAAAGTAGACAGAGACCCAGTTATTTGGCAAGATATTTGGAGGAGACAAGGTAAAGCTTTCAAACTCTAAAAACACATTGAAGCAAATATCAATCATGATGGAAGCATCACAGTGTTCTGGTGGCTGCTGTACAGATAAATTTCACAAAAAGGATGAAAAAACAAAATGGTTAATCTCCTAAGGATTACACTTTATCTAAAATCCAGTTAGTTGTTGAAAATTGGAAATATTTAACTGTTAAAGCAGAACGACGACCATACATAGATTAAAAAACTGTTAGATGAAACAGGCTCACATTAAGGATGTCCTCATTATAGTGACCTGAAGGACATATTAACATGTTTAAACACTGGATTTGTCAACAAAAATCCTAATGCTGACAACTACTAAACGTAGGGATCAAGGTGTAAACTTTGACAAAAAACGTCAATTTGCTTGTTTTTTTGTTGTTTTTTTACTTTTACCCCTAAAAGTAACCAGGAAGTGCAACTATCTCTTTTCTCAGGGAGACCTGACAGAAAAATGTATGACCAATTCTGTCTTTTTATATGTTAAGAGAGTGGTTGGTTGTATAATTATTCCACTCCAGGACAAAAAGAAATATTCATAAAAGCTTGAAACTATAATGTAAATAGGTCAGAATTAGGATAGCTGTATGTAGCCCTCTGACCACAAATGTTTTAGTATTAACACTGAAGTGGGAAACTATCATGAACCATTGTTTTCAAAAAAATTAAAAAATAAAATACCGTAAGAAAGGCAAACCTCGCTGCCTACCAAAGGCACCATAATCAGACAGATTTTGCATAATACTTAAGAATACTCTTGGGTTTTGCTGAAGAAGTTCCATGAATCCTGGTTATTGTAAGAAACTTGGGTAAACAATCTTTAGAAACGAGTCTCCAGAAAATATCTACAAAATTAAAAAAATAGCTAAATAAATTTACATCCATCCATCCTCATCCACTTATCCGAGGTCCATTCACAGGGGTAGCAGCTTCAATAGGCAGGCCCAGACGTTCCTCTCCCCAGCCACTTGGGCCAGCTCCTCCGCGGGAATCCCAAGTTGTTCCCAGGCCAGCAGAGAAACTTGCATTGAAGAACTCGCTTTAGGTGCCCAGAACACCTCACCAGGGAGTCCTGGAGGCATCCTAACAAGTTTTCCGAGCCACCTCAACTGGCTCCTCTTGAAGTGAAGGAGCAGAAGTTCTACTCTGACTCCTACCTAGATGACTGAGCTCCTCACCATATCTCTAAGGGAGACCCCAGGCACAAGACGAAAAAAAACTAATTTTATCCGCTTATATCTGCGGTCTTCTTCTTTCGGTCATGAATTTACAATTACATTACTTACATGCACATATAACAAGTGAATGTGTACTATGGAGGAAAGTAATGTCATTTATTTTCTCTGAGGATTTGCCAATGCTTATCTAAAGCAGGCTTGCATTCAAGGACTTGTCTGTCACAGCAAAGCTTTTTATTATTATTTTATTAAGTGCACAGAATGATACAATCAAAGAAGCAGGTTTAACTCAAAACATTAAATTACCCAAAAAAATTTCTGAAAAAAGACTGATTATGCATTTATTCTTATATTAGAGTCAAAAAAAGTTGAAAGAATTAAACAGCCCTTTTTGTGTTTTCTGATTCCAGTAAGGAACTAAGTATCAATCAAATGTTTCTGTTGAATCAAATGTGTTGTTTCTTTTTATCTATTTATGCAACACACAACATACATATTATGGGTAACGTTTGGTGAAATAAAGTATTACAATTGGAGATCAATTATCAGTAGTTTAGTTTTGAATTGCACCATGAATCAGAAAAATAATCGCCCCCCCCCCAGACACATGAAGACATGTGCTGCACATTATAAGTATCTTCGGTGATTTACAATCACAGACTCAGGTGCTGAATTATCCACAAAGCGATGTTCATGAAACCATCTGATTCTGCATCCACCTTGGAGAGAGAATGGTTGTTTCCAGGATACCACAGCAATCTGAGCAAACACATGTTGGAGCATCAACAAACAAAGAACAAGAAATACAAAAAACAGAAGAAGAATCATGTTGGGTTAATTAATTGAACATAAGTTATTCTACTTTAATCATATTACTTTAATCATATTATACTTACACATTTTGTTATCTCTATCTTACTCATATTACAAAGAGTGTTAAAACATTTAGTTTTGTTTGCTGTGTCATTAATGTTTTTTAAGTCTGTGCAGGAGGGATGTTGACTGCGACTGCTGTTAACAGATGTCGTTAAGGGTGTGGAGGAGAATGGAGAACTGTGCAACTAGATAAGGAGAGGGGTTCTCCTTATCCTCTGATGTTGTATGATGTTGTACGAAAATTCTGGTTTCAACTGGGTTCTGTTCCCTCCCCCTTTAGCGGTTGAAACCACATTGTAATCAGGGCGTTTCTTCAATAAAGGGCTTGGAGAGCAGATACTGCTTCAGAGTGGGTTTGAAGTTGTAACTGAATGCAGTTTCTGATCCCCTCTCCTTGCAAGTAAAATATACTAAATTCTCTGTGTCATTCTTTGTGCAGGTTGCTGAATAAGGTGTTTGGTGTTTAAACCTAACATTAATTGGTCCTTCGAGCCGGATTGCAAGATACCCGACGACCCCCAGCAGGTGAGTGAGATCCAGATAAGCCTGCGGCCGCAGCAAAGAGACCCTTTACGGGACTGGTCTCTCCCTTACAAGCTGGGGTCCGACGGTTGAAGCATTTCGAGGACGCAGAGAATTGTGAGTAGTTTTTCTTTTAATAAGGAGTGAGTGAATTATTGGAAGAAAAATATATAAAATATAAAAAATTTATAAAAATATAATAATATAAAAAAAAAGAAAAAAAGATCGAAGTGAAGGGCGTGGGGTCACGAGATTCCCCTTTTGAAGTCCTCTCAGCGTGGGGTCACGAGATTCCCCTTTGCAAACAGTTTAAACCTCGTGAAGGACGGCGGTGTCCTCTATCTTAAATAGTTAAATTCCGCATGGGGTAACGAGGTCCCCCTTTTGTACTAAAACCCTGACAATTCTAGACTCTATCAGGTAAAATAGAAATTTTAAAACAGTTAAAGTCCGCGGGAGGGCAGGCTCCCCTAGTTTGTAAGGGCAGGCTCCCCGAGTTGTAAACTAGTTAAATTCTGCATAGGATAGCGGCGTCCTCTGTGTTTAAAATAAGTAAACAGAAATAAAGTAAAAGTTAACTGCGCAGTGAGTGTGTGTGTGTGTGTGTGTGCGTGTGTAAGGAAATATAGATATCACTAGATATCTGTATTTCATACCAAAAAGACAAGGGTTAAATGGTGAGCTTTTGTGGATGTTTGTAGACAAGAAAACTCCACCTGTAAGGGTTGAAGTGAGTTTTACCACAAAAAGTCGTTGATCACCATCTTGTCTGAAGCCCCAGTGTTTAGAACACGACAGGTGTTGAAAACCCACTGGGCCCAAATTTAGTTCAAAATGGGAAAGGGGCAAAGTAAAGAAAAACAGAAGTTATTAGAGAAACTCCAGTGCAAAGATTGGAAAGCAGTCGAAAATGATGACCCATTGGCGGTAGAGCCATTGTGTCACTGGATAAAAAACTACGGTTTTAATGGTAAATTGAGCACCGCAAACATTAAAGAATTGCAACAAAAAATAAAAACAAAAAGCAAAAATAAAGACACTTTGATGGCAAAAGAAGGTTACATGCAAACCATGGTCTGGATGAAATTGGCAGGACAGAGAGAAGAGGGAGAGGAGAGACAAAGAAAAGCAGTAGAAGGAATTCCCTCTCCAAAGAAGGATGTGGAAGAATGTGTAATTCAAGAATGGGTAAATCGTCACCACATAGAGATGAGTGGTGCAACACTCCAAAAGTATATAAACCACGCCCTGCATGCAGAGAAAGTCATAAAAAGTAAAAAGAATCACAATAAAGAATCCACTGTGTTTTATCAGGAGGAAGAGGACACTGTGTTTTATCAGCAGTCCAGAGGTAGGGGCCGAGGCCGTGGAAAGGGAAGAGATTTTGGATCATGCTCAACTGATAATTCCAGAGCGTGTTGGTCATGTGGAAAAAAAGGCCACATAGCTAGACACTGTCAAAGTAAACCACAAAAGCAGGAAGCTCAGCATGACTAGATGATCAACCATTTTCTATTAGAGAGATAGAGGGTGAAAATATGGATGTCTTAAACCTAGAAGATTTTTTTTTTTAAAGAAATGTTATAGACCAGAAATAGTTCTGATGGTCCAGGGCACTCCTGTTAAATTTTGTGTGATACAGGAGCCTGCAGAACCACAATAAAAGAACCCATACCCTTGCACATACCCATCGTAAAGATGATTTACCTGTAGGTCCATATTCAGCATTATTACAGCAAGCACAAGCAGCTGCACAAGCAGCTTTACAGCAAGACCCAAATGAACTTGGTGCTGCTGCTGCTTCTGCTTCAGCCCCAGTCTTGCCAGCTCCTAAAGTTGAGAATCTACCGGCTTATTCTCCTATGCCCAGCACCTCCACAAGGGTTACCCATTCTGGGGGACCTGTGGGGGCTTGGTCAAAAGATATGGGGGGAGGCTTAATCTCCCCACAGCCAGCCCCTGAACCCAAACCTGAAATTGAGTGTTTCCTTTAATTGAGCTGCCAAATCCTTTGGCGGGTCAGGGGCCAGCTGAAAATCCATTTTTTCCTGTCATGATGGTCTATAGGCAGGGGCGGATTTAGGAAATTTGGGGCCCTGGGCATGGATGGGCAGGGGGCCCCCCCTGACAAGAAAACCTATAAAACAGTCCTATTCTACAGATAGAGAAATGTTAATAGAATAGACATTCATTATTTGTTCTAGGTTTTGTCCCTCTGTTCTTGTCCTTTTTTCCTCTCTATTTATCAGCCTTCTGATGGCATTTTAGCCAAAGCATTTTTATCAAAAACATAATTAATATGCATAAATAAGGATTAGTTGTATTAACTATACATGTGAATAGCACCCCAACAGTTTTCCTGTGTGACAGTGGTGCATGCAGAACAACTGTTAAACAACAAATTCCAGGTGCTGGCCAAGGACCTGAGACTGTCATAGTCCGATTAGCTCAAGGTCATTTAAAGGCTGTGCAGGAGATCCAGCTTGTGTGGTTGAGAGACCCTGAAGGACTCTCCTGCCGGCTGTCTGTACTGACTTTACCTGAATGTCCAGTTAACCTCTTAGGCAGGGATGCTCTATGCTTTGCTTAGACAGAGGCTGGGCATCCCATCCCTGGTAGGGACACTATTGGTCTGGTGTCATTGGTACTATGCATTATGCATGCCTTTCTTTTTTTATGCTTGATATGAGCATCAGTACTGATGAGAGGAATTCATTGTTTAAAGAAAAAAGGAGCATTTTGCTACATTAATAAACATTTTTAAGCACTACACTAACTAGATGCTGTTTATCAATGTTGGAGTATCACCGGCTCTGATGAATGTGGAATTAGGACTGTTTTCCACTTTGTAAATGATTTTATTTGAACAACTGAGACAGACGGTAAATACAGTACTTTCTTCTGAATATATAGAATCGTGCAGAGTTAAACCCCACTCTTATATTTTTACCTACTATGCTTCATTAAAAATAATAACTTCACTATGAAAGTTGAACATCTGGGCTGTAGTTACTCTGTGTTGCCCATCTCATGTATTTTATCTGTGGCTGAAAACATGAATCATATTCATTGTTTATTTACATATTCGTAAACAAATTTAGTGATTCATCATTAAATGGAGTATAGAGACTCTAACACATAATATACATGTAAAATCTGGCTTTCTCCGACAGAGTAACCCACTTGGATCAGTAATCATACCAAAACTGTAAAATAAATTTATAAACATTTTGCAAATACGATATAAAATGTTTTTGTCTGTCAATAACTTCCGTCCGGAGCTCTTCAGGAGGAAATGTTTTGGTTTCACCTGGTTTAATGTCATTAGTAATCTTCTTTACAGAACTTTTGGCTAACCAATTAATCGAAAGAATTAACGATAGACTGATCGATTTACGAAATAATTGTTAGTTGCTGTCCTAATTTCATCGTAACATTGCATTAAACATAACATTTCTTATTAAATACATGTGAAGTGGGGATGACATTCAACGAAACAAACATGTTATTCAGCCAAACTATCATAAAATCCATGATGGCCCCTATATGTGACCAGAACATAAACCAATCCTTCCAAATAAAAAAATTTCTTTGAATGAGCTGCTATATTGAGTCATGATTTCACTCATGTCTCAAACGGGGGGATTGTAGGATTGATTGAGCATTGAGCATCATTATACAGCATATGGATTTATATTTTATGCAAAAAACTTTTGTAAAGCATGTCTAATATGTGCTAAACATAATCTTCAAGGAAATTTAAGACCTAAAAAAGGTGCTTTCCCTAAACCTATTTATCCTTTCAATTCTGTTTGGTTATAATAGATTTGTTTTCTAAATGGATTGCAAGAAAGTGATAGTTAGATCAGATGAGTAATAAGTAAAATCACTTTCTTAATTATTCTGTGGAACCTTACCATACTGCTTAGCACTCTAGTAATTCTACTGTGGTACCTGTTATAGAATACGCATTTTGTCTCCTTCACCGACCTTCAGAGGAAGTCCATCGTACAAAGGGGGTTGTATTTTTAGTATACAACCGTCTCAAACTGGTGATGATTGTACACAACTCTGCCGAGAGGTCATAGGAAGTAGACCACTGTGTAAAAGATTACCCATAGGAAACTTTTTGAAGTTTGAACCTAGATGATGTTGCAACTTTTCATATTAGTTTTGTTTTTAGCTCTCACTCAGGGCAAGGATTCTTGTTGCCCCCATGAGCCAGCTATTTGTAAAAGGGACGTATATCTCTGCTATAACTCTACTAGAGTAATCAGTGTAGTGACTATTCCTTTTCAAACATTCTCGCAAAGATTTAAAATTGACCCGGGAGATTGGCGAGGTTATGATTTCTACCTATATCCCCGTATAGTTCAAAGAACTCAAAAGAGTTGGGGAGTTTTCAGAACCACTGGACAGTGGAAAAAAGGATCATATGGATGGACATCTTTAGCTAAGAAATGGATGAGTAGAATATCAGGGTTCACTGTTAACCATGCCTCCAAAGTTTTCACTATGACAATAAACTCCACAGCAGAACCCCTTGAGAAGGAAGGCTGTTCTTCATCATTTCTATGTGCACGGTCTAGTGAAACCGATCCATGTTGGACATTGTATCTGTGCTCTGCAAATGTTACACAAGAAGGAGATGAGATACAAGGGATTCTTACTTCTGCCCAAGGTGAACAGATAAAAATTCAAAATATTAATGACCCGCTTAAAACAGATGAATTGTTTCAAGTCACCACTGGAATCTCTGGGCAAACAAACAACTGGCTTTTAATGGCAGAACAAGCAGCTAAAACAGTGTCTAATGATTGTCTTGTGTGTATGGGAGCCAGACCGCTGTTACGTGTGGTTCCTGCCACCATAACTCCTCAATGTCTTCTAAATATAATGAATTATACAGTTCCAACTGATAATTGCACCTATTGGGATAAGATCTATCCCCTGACCACAGATGAGAAGAAAAAACCAATCTTTTGAAGAAAGTGGCTGTGGCAAATTTCACCTGTGTAAACAGGACCGGAGTGGGCCCAAAATTGGGTACACTAAATGAAAAACAATGTGCAAGCATTTTACTGGTATCCACCTTTTTTAAACCTCAATCCCGCAGTGACATCTGGTGGTGGTGTGGAGATGACAGATTGTTTGACAGACTTCCATGCAACACCACTGGATTGTGTGCTGCAGTCACCTTGATTTTACCTGTTTCTATTACTTCACTCACAATGGATGAATTGTTAACGACTGTAAACAGTATTTTACCTCACACATGGCATACTAGAAGAAGGAGGGCATCTGAAAATGCGTGGAGTCCAGATGACCCTACTTATATTGACAGTATTGGAGTACCCAGAGGTGTTCCAGATGAGTATAAACTAGTGAATCAAGTTTCTGCAGGATTTGAATCTTTCTTATGCTGGTGGTGTACTATAAATAAAAATGTAGACAGGATCAACTACATCCATTATAACGTCCAGAGGCTGGGAAATAAAACAGAACAAGGCTTCTCCGCCGTCCATGAACAATTGTCAGCTACCTCTCTGATGGCTTTCCAGAACCGTATTGCTGTTGACATGTTGTTAGCTGAAAAAGGTGGTGTGTGCTCTATTTTTGGAGATCAGTGTTGCACCTTTATTCCCAACAACACTGCTGCAGATGGCAGCCTCACAAAGGCCCTTGAAGGCCTTCGCTCTCTTAACAGCAAAATGAAAGACCATTCTGGAGTTGACACAAAAATGTGGGATGGATCTGGAGACATTTTTGGTAAATACAAACAACTGGTACTTTCTATTTTGATGTCTGTAGCTATATTTGCCGCCATCCTGACCTTATGTGGATGTTGTTGTATTCCATGTATTAGATTGCTGCTAAATAGACTAATTACCACTGCAATACAACCCATTAAAACAGAAATGTATGCCCTTATGTCCACTGAGGAACACCTATCGGATGATGAAGACAGCGAAGAGGATGAATTCTCTTTACACTTTCCTGACTTTTATCCTAATCCCAACGACAATAACCCACCAGTTTAAAGTACCTCTGAGTGTACCCTTTACAGCTAAAAAAAGAAAAAAGAATGATTTCTTAGTTGAAAATCTGAAAAGAAGTAACTATTGAATGATAAAAATAAATAGCTTAAAGTGAATAAACAGGAGGGAAATGTTGGGTTAATTAATTGAACATAAGTTATTCTACTTTAATCATATTACTTTAATCATATTATACTTACACATTTTGTTATCTCTATCTTACTCATATTACAAAGAGTGTTAAAACATTTAGTTTTGTTTGCTGTGTCATTAATGTTTTTTAAGTCTGTGCAGGAGGGATGTTGACTGCGACTGCTGTTAACAGATGTCGTTAAGGGTGTGGAGGAGAATGGAGAACTGTGCAACTAGATAAGGAGAGGGGTTCTCCTTATCCTCTGATGTTGTATGATGTTGTACGAAAATTCTGGTTTCAACTGGGTTCTGTTCCCTCCCCCTTTAGCGGTTGAAACCACATTGTAATCAGGGCGTTTCTTCAATAAAGGGCTTGGAGAGCAGATACTGCTTCAGAGTGGGTTTGAAGTTGTAACTGAATGCAGTTTCTGATCCCCTCTCCTTGCAAGTAAAATATACTAAATTCTCTGTGTCATTCTTTGTGCAGGTTGCTGAATAAGGTGTTTGGTGTTTAAACCTAACAAATCAGGTGTTTTCTTACCGGACTGGGATTTTTTTGGCTTTTAGTGCTTTGTAGTATTCAATTCCTTGCTTGTTAGGAACACGCTTGTCATCTTCCCCTAAAGTAAGTAGAACTGGGGTCCGAACCTTAAAGGAAAAATCAGGTCAACAAGGAATGATCAATGGAACATCATCTATACCTAAAACTAATACGTTTGTAGTGATTTAATGAATTTAGCGCTAATCAGTAAAAAAATTCGAGTCCAGAACCGGCCATTTTTGCCCAAATATAGTAACACATCATTCAGACATCTTCCGGCAGTAACATCACGGTGCGGTAAGACTAGCGCCATTCTCTCCGCTTTACAAGCAAAATCAATGGGAGCTACCAGACACGCTGCAACCAAAAACAGCTATTTAAGATTTCAAGAGGACTTCACCACTGAAATTTGCGAGAGCTATACCCACGTGCATGGCAGTTGGATGTTGTAATAAATCGGGTAAAAGTGAAAAAAAAAAATTTCACTTTTCTGATTCATGATCCAACACATGTGCGTCATTGGATTGCCAACTTGAAGAAGGAGGAATTCCCATCGAACTTCTGGCCAGAGAAAAAACATGTAATATCTCGCCAACATTTCGAGGAAGAATGTTTTCAAGATGCCTTGATTACTAGCCCGTTGTGACAGACACAAAATACAGCAATGGGACTTGATCAATAGCCGATACTGCACCGTGACGTCACAAACCGGTAGGCGGCAGTAGTGTTCTTTGACAAACATGGATGTCTCCGTTAAAGCACATTCAAATGAAATTACTCTTGATTAACAATACTTATCATTATTAAACATTATGTAATAATTTCATATTTAAAGTACTTTCAGAATTTTGAATTCTGAATATGAGTGGACTTTTCCTTTAACAAGACATTAACTGGCATTACAAGTACAAGTATACAGCTGAGATTTATATAGATATACCTGAGAGACGTATTTGATAGGAGACTTGTTTAACATCTGTTCCCAAACAGCAGGGTCAGGGAGACAATCAGGACTGTAATCGTATCCAGCCTCTACCATACACCTACAAAAACCAATATTTGATTTACAATCCAGTGAACCAGTTCCAAAGTGCTATTGTCTTGTAGCACTTTACCCACAGGAATGATCAAATATGCGCAAGAGTGCATGGACTTTAACAATGAGACCTACCAGTCTGGAATATCCGTGCTGCCAATCATGGAGGCCAAATTGATGACCGGATTGCGCGACACACAGGCCTTGTAGAAGCCAGGGTACTGGCCAATTAGATGACAGGCTAGAAAACCCCCATGGGAGCCTCCAGAAACTGACACCTTTTGCGTATCAAACTCATCACTTTGCAGAACACTTTCAACAGCAAACTGGAGGAGGCAAAAAACAAACAGCATGCTACGTCAGTAAAGGTCTGTAAAACCAACAGACAGTGATAAAGGGAGAACAAAATAAGCACATCTAAAAAGAGCACTGTTGATATGAGCCACGAGTTACATCTATGCACAAATATAGAGCCAATGAACACAAATGTGTTACTATGGTCAGACATCCTTTGTAAAACCAACCAGAGTTTGTTTTAAAGAACTCAATAGGTAATTTAAGAGAGTATTGGGTTACTATGTTGTCCTTTTTTTTTTTTTTTTTTGTCTATTTTCGTGAAGCACCCGTTCACCGCATGTCATCTCAAGGCTATTTACAGAGATAACCCAATCAAATCATACAGATTGATTAAAAAGCTTTTTTGCTAAGGAGACGGAACAGATCGTATTGAGCCATTGAATTGCAGAATCCTTCTGGATGAGCTTGTTGCAACAGTGGACAGCAGCTTGCACTGTGCAGTTGACTTTGCAGCAAACCTGAGTGTGTGTAGGGGGTTGCAAAGCATTCACACCAAACATCCCTGTGAGTGCTTGATGCTTCTACTTTGGTAGTTACTTTGCAGAATGGGAGCAGATTGGTTTGAAGAGCAAAGCAAAGAACTTTGCTCCACCAATGTCCAATTTTAAATCATGGCTTAGGACATAATATTTGTTACCAGATAAGTCTGCTTAAAGCTGAAGTCTGTAAGTTTTTAAAAATCATTTTTTTGTCATATTGCTTAAAACTGTCCCTATGCCCAGACAGCAGTACATGTGATATGTAACCTGTGAAAAAAACTGCTTCAATTGGTACCGCCTACTGCCTGTATTTCAATCTGGAAAGAATAATTCGGGACGAGTCAAAACAACCAATCACAGCCAGAGTGTCATGTTTGGCTTTAGGTGCCGCGCCCACATGCAGAAACACACTCGGAAAAACAGGCACAGTCTCAGGGTCTTTATTAACAATTAGTCAAACAGATCACAGAGATTATGTCAACCAAAAAACACAGGAAATGGAGCGCTGCCAGGAAACCGGTCTCGTCTAAGGAGGATAGAGAAGAGGTTAGAACGCGGAGAATCTGGAGGGAGAAACCAACGGATCTGAGCTTACCACAGAGCGCGGACACCGGACCGGGAGGGAGCAGTGAGAACTCGGCGCTGTGACAGGCGTGGCGTGACCAGAGAGCGGGAGAATGAGGAGTTGTCCGAGCAGCCTCCAGAAATCAGAACCAGCGGGAGGAACCAGGGAGAAACGGGAGGCCAGGGACCCACAGACTGGGTGACCAACCTCGATACTCCTGAGAGGACCTGGAAGGATCCGCCACGAGAGGAGGAGATGATTCACGAGAGAGAACCGCAATGGTAACACTCTGGCGTCCTCCCGCTGTCTGAGCGCTGCTCAAATAGTGCAGGGCCGGTGCTGCTGAACCACTTGCAGGTGTGCGTGCCCCGCCCTCCAGTCAACGACAGACACCTGTGAAGGTAAACAGAAGAGGCCGAGGCCTGACACCACCCCGCCCTCAACGGTCGCCTCCTGGCGAGCACGAGGAAGATGGACGGGAGGACAGGAAGGAGTCGATCAGGGACCGATCCGGGATGGAAGAGCCAGGAAGCCAGGACCGATCCTCAGGACCGCAACCCACCCAGTCGACGAGGTACTGAAAACCTCTGCCTCGGGGACGGGAGGCCACGATCCGTTGGACCTGACGTCCGTGGTGATCCTGGGTTGGCGGAGGGGGTTCAGCCGGAGGGCAGAAGGAACTGGTGACAACGGGCTTGATCTGGGACACGTGGAAGGTGGGATGGACTCTGGAGTGAGATGGAAGACGGAGGCGGACGGTCGAGGGACTAACTATGGAGATGATCTCATTGGGGCCGGCAAAACGGGGAGACAGTTTCCGACTGGTGGCCCGGGAGGGGATGTCTCGAGTGGAGAGCCAGACTCGCTGACCGGGATGGTAACTGGGGGCAGGGCGCCGCCTCCGGTGAGCAAATCGGCGGTTCTGTTCGGCAGTCTGTCTGAGTGCTTGGATGGTTTGGTTCCAGAACTGCCTACAACGAAGGATGTGGTGGTTAACAGTAGGGACGGCGATCTGTCTGTTATCCTCGGGGAGTAACGGGGGTTGGTAACCAAGGGAGACCTCAAAGGGGGACCTGCCAGTAGCTGTGGAGATGTGGCTATTGTGAGCGTACTCCACCCAGGGAAGGTGTTTGCTCCAATCAGAGGGGTTATTGGACGTGAGACAACGGAGGGCGGTCTCCAGCTCCTGGTTCAATCGCTCTGTCTGACCGTTGGTCTGCGGGTGGTAACCGGAGGTAAGGGTATACTGGGCCCCCAGGGCCCTGGCAAATTCCTTCCAAACCCGCGAGATGAATTGAGGACCACGGTCAGACAGTATGTCCTGCGGGATGCCGTGCAGACGAAAAACATGCTTAACCAGGAGCTGGGCCGTCTGGAGAGCTGAGGGGAGTTTTCTAAGGGGGATGAGATGGCAGGCCTTGGAAAAACGGTCTACAACAGTGAGGATGGTGGTCATACCTTGTGAAGGAGGGAGGCCGGTCACAAAATCGAGGGCTATGTCAGACCAAGGGCGCTCGGGAACAGGTAAGGGCTGGAGGAGGCCTGCGGGAGGTCTGTTGGAGGACTTATTCTGGGCACAAACAGGACAAGATTGGACAAACTGTTTGGTGTCTTGGGAGATGGTGGGCCACCAGAAACGTCGGGAGAGAAACTTGAGGGTTCTAAGGATGCCTGGATGAGCAGAGAATTTCTCAGAGTGGGCCCACTGGATGACTCGGGCACGGACAGAGGTGGGGACATAGGTGCGGTTAACCGGGCCATTGCCTGGATCTGGGTCAGAACGTTGAGCCTGTGAGATCATGTCTTGTATCTCCCACTGGAGGGCACCGAAAACACAGGAGGGAGGTAGGATGGGAACTGGTTCCTTATCAGAGTCGGGGGGAGCATAGAGGCGAGACAGGGCGTCAGGTTTCTGGTTCTTTGAGCCAGGGCGGTAGGAGATTGTTAAGTTGAAGCGGGAGAAGAAAAGGGACCAGCGGGCCTGCCTAGGGTTCAAACGTTTGGCAGACTGGAGGTAGGCCAGATTCTTGTGGTCGGTCCAAATTAACACGGGCTGCTCGGACCCCTCTAGCCAATGGCGCCACTCTTCCAGGGCTAGCTTAATGGCCAGGAGCTCCCTGTCCCCAACATCATAGTTACGCTCTGTCGGGGTCAGACGCCGAGAGAAAAAGGCGCAGGGATGAAGCTTCTGGTCTATGTCCGAGCACTGGGACAACACCGCCCCAACCCCAGAGTCAGAAGCGTCAATTTCAACGGTGAATTGTTTGGCAGGGTCAGGGTGAATGAGGATGGGTGCTTGCGAGAATCTTCTCTTAAGGTCGGTGAAGGCTCTGTTTGCCTCGGGGTTCCAAACGAAGGGAACCTTGACAGAAGTAAGAGCGTGGAGGGGAGCTGCGATCTGACTGTACCCCCTGATGAAGCGCCGGTAAAAGTTAGCAAAACCAAGAAAACGTTGCAACTCCCTCCTTGTCTCTGGTACAGGCCAGTTGAGCACAGCCTTAATCTTCTCGGGGTCCGATCGGACCTGCCCCCCCTCCAGGATGAGTCCGAGAAAAGTGACCGAGTGCTTGTGAAACTCGCACTTCTCCGCCTTGACAAACAACCTGTTCTCCAGAAGCCGTTGGAGGACTAGGCGAACGTGATGTATATGTTCGGAGAGGGTGCGGGAGTAAATGAGGATGTCATCTATGTACACGAAGACAAAGATGTTTAGAAAGTCACGGAGAACATCATTGACCAGAGCCTGGAAGACAGCAGGAGCGTTGCACAGGCCGAAGGGCATGACCTGATATTCAAAGTGACCAAGGGGTGTCTTGAAGGCCGTCTTCCACTCATCCCCCCGGCGGATCCGCACTAAGTGGTAAGCGCTACGTAAATCTAACTTAGTGAAGATGGTGGCAGACTGGACCGGCTCGAGGGCGGAGGAGAGGAGCGGGAGAGGGTATTTATTCTTAACAGTTATCGCGTTTAGGCCGCGATAGTCAATACACGGACGGAGGGAGCCGTCCTTCTTGGAAACGAAGAAAAACCCCGCACCGAGAGGCGAAGACGACGGGCGGATAAGTCCAGCTGCGAGAGACTCCTTAATATATTTCTCTAACGCCTGACATTCGGCCCGAGAAATATTATAGAGACGGCTCGTCGGTAGCGGGGCACCTGGCAGAAGGTCGATGCCGCAATCGTACGGGCGATGTGGCGGAAGCGAGCAGGCCAGGGTCTTACTGAAAACCTGCTTGAGGTCATGATACTGCTCAGGCACCAGTTTCAAGTTCTCAGGGTCAACCTGAGCACAGGACAGTTCAGGAGGTGGACTAGGCAGTTCAGCAGATTGCAGACATTCTGCATGACATCTGGTTGACCAAGAATTAACCCTTCGGTCGACCCAGTTTATCTGCGGGTTATGCATCTGCAACCACGGGAAACCAAGAACGATCGGAGCATGCTTAATAGGAAAAACTAAAAATGTAACTCGTTCTCTATGGTTACCAGAGACCACGAGTTCAAGGGGCTCAGTACGATGGGTTATTCTAGGAAGAACCCCACCGTCCAGGGCGGAAACCTGGAGGGGCGTGCACAAAGGGATCGTCTCGAGACGAGCGCGCAGGACAAAGGTCCGATCGATTAAATTAAAATCGCACCCTGAATCAACGAGGGCGGACAACTTAAAGGTCTGCTGAACAGAAACGATTGCAGCCTGGAGACAGAGCCGCGGAGGTGAAGACAAAAGTAACTGAGATTGGTCCGCCGGTTCCTCCGCTACGACCGACGGACCAGTTCTTTTGGGCGCTCAGGGCACTCCCGAATAAAATGATCAGGCGAGGCGCAATACAGGCATAACCTAGAGTCCATGCGCTGCTGTCTTTCCTCTGGGGTGAGCCGCACCCGGCCCAGCTGCATGGGTTCCGGGGGGGGAAGGCGAAACTGCAGCGGGTCTGAGGGCGCTTCGATCAGGCTGGGGCAGTAGACTAAAGGTGGCTCTCTCTGGACGACCTCGGCTCCGAGTCCGAAGCCGGTTATCTAAACGAACCGCCAGGGTGATGTAATCATTTAAGGTGGAAGGTTCCTCTAGCCGAGCTAATTCGTCCTTAAGAGACTCGTCAAGAGCCTGGAAAAACACCGACTTGAGAGCGCGTTCCTCCCAACCTGCCGCAGCCGCCAAGGTCCGGAACTCTATGGCAAAATCGGCTACGCGTCTTCCACGCTACCGAAGAGCTAAGAGCCGCCGTGAGTCCTGCACCTCATTAGAGTCGGCTGCAAAAACCATCTTAAATTCTGACAAAAACTCTTCAAATGTGCAGCCAAACCTCTGGCAGTCAGGGAAGCGGGACTCAGCCCATCTTAGTGCTCTTCCCGTTAACAGCCGTAAAATAAAAGAAATTTTCACATGATCCTGGGCGTACAAACGTGGAGAACGGTTAAAAACGAGTGAGCACTGGAAAAGGAATCCCCCACAATCTCCGCTGTCACCTGAGAACCTCTCCGGACTGGGCGAGGTGGGCTCGGGGGCGGAGAATGACGTCTCCGCTTACGCGGGGCCGGGGGCGGGGCCCGGGGACGCGGAAGCGGCTGCCTGGGGGCTCGCGCTTAGCACGCTAGTCAGCTGATTGATCTGAGCTGCAAAGCCCTGTAACTGACTCTGCAGCCCTAAAACGGTGGCTTCTAGACCCCGAATCTGGTCCTGTTGAGCGGTTAACGCCCTACCGAGCGCGTTCGCTGGGTCTGTTTGGCCAGAGTGTTCTTCTGTCATGTTTGGCTTTAGGTACCGCGCCCACATGCAGAAACACACTCGGAAAAACAGGCACAGTCTCAGGGTCTTTATTAACAATTAGTCAAACAGATCACAGAGATTATGTCAACCAAAAAACACAGGAAATGGAGCGCTGCCAGGAAACCGGTCTCGTCTAAGGAGGATAGAGAAGAGGTTAGAACGCGGAGAATCTGGAGGGAGAAACCAACGGATCTGAGCTTACCACAGAGCGCGGACACCGGACCGGGAGGGAGCAGTGAGAACTCGGCGCTGCCTGATGGAGATGTGACAGGCGTGGCGTGACCAGAGAGCGGGGGAATGAGGAGTTGTCCGAGCAGCCTCCGGAAATCAGAACCAGCGGGAGGAACCAGGGAGAAACGGGAGGCCAGGGACCCACAGACTGGGTGACCAACCTCGATACTCCTGAGAGGACCTGGAAGGATCCGCCACGAGAGGAGGAGATGATTCACGAGAGAGAACCGCAATGGTAACACTCTGGCGTCCTCCCGCTGTCTGAGCGCTGCTCAAATAGTGCAGGGCCGGTGCTGCTGAACCACTTGCAGGTGTGCGTGCCCCGCCCTCCAGTCAACGACAGACACCTGTGAAGGTAAACAGAAGAGGCCGAGGCCTGACACAGAGGAGCGTCTGATGGAGTGTCAATCACAGCTCACACACGCTGAATCCCGCCCCCCCCCCCTTCTGGTTGCATGCGGTAGCCGCGCAGATGCTGTGAGAGGGGTGGAGCTTGGAGGTGGGGCATGAGTGAAGCAGAGAGGGTGGGGGAGTGGCGTGAAACCTGTTTTTCTTCAAATTTTCAGTCGAAGTCTGCTCTCTCCTCAATGTTACAGACTGCAGCTTTAAGACAACTGCCAAAGACAACTATTAAAACTTAAAGCCATGTTGGAAGTAGAAAAACAAAAGTAGGCTTTGGGAGCAAATAAATTAGGTAGGGAAATTGGATTACAGAAGAAGAGATTTACCAATGGTGATTTAGATATCCATTATGGAAATTATATTTATGAAGGCAAAAAGAATTGGATATATATATATATATATATATATATATATATATATATATATATATATATATATATATATATATATATATATATATATATATATATATATATATATATAAATAGTAAATCACAAAATTGAAAGCAGGGACAGATAATTTTTGATATATACAGATGGTTCTAAGGGTTCAGGATCAGGTAGAACAGATTTCTCTATTGAACTTATGGTCCCACTGAAACAAAAAAACATCTGATCTTTTAACTACCTTTACAGATGAAATTATTGCATTTGTGACGGTGTTATAGTGGTTTCAACATTGCAGTTGTTCTAAATTAGTTTAAAAGCTAATTTGACCTCATTTTAAATTCTTCAACATAAACTCTGGCTTTCAAAACATAAAATCCATTCCCAACTGTGATATAATTGGATCATTTTATGACCTTTTTTCTCAAGTAACCACCAAAAACTTCTATGTATTTTACTGGAATTTCTGTAACATATAATGATTTATGTGGCGTTGAAGGTGTTCTTACCTGAACATCTTTCACATCCTGTGAACCCACATTACCAGGCAGTGAGAGGATGTTGTCTTGGCCATACCCAAGAGAGCCACGATAATTTACTAAAAACATATACACACACATTAAAAGTGATGACAAAAGCAGCAACACCTTTGATATATATATATATATATATATATATATATATATATATATATATATATATATATATATATATAAATATATATAGTAGTTTAGACATTTTTTATGGTTTCTTTTCAACAATTGTGTCCTTTTGGTTGTTTCTCAGCAAACAAGAACATATGAAGCGCTCTGACACTTATGTTCCTTGAGCTTCAAGTTTATCTTTAATACCTTTAGAGGTTTTTCTGTTCTCTTTTTTTAACATTTGTATTATCTGTCTCTTTGATTTTTCATCACTTTTCCTTCTGCAGCCCCGTTCAGGGATGTTGGCCACAGTCCCATTGAATAAAATATTTTGAATAATACTTGCAAATGTAGTGACAGAAACATCAAGCTACTTGAAGATGGTCTTATTACAATTATCTCTAACATGATTTTCCTTTATTTTCTTGCTAAACTTCCGAGACAAATCATTCCTTTGCTTTCTCGGGCCCATGTTGAGTCTGGTACACACCATTTCACCAGACAGCACATGGACTTCCTGTAGCCCTATATATAGGCTAACTGACTAATTACAAGATTATAGACACCTGTGATGCTAATTAGTGGATACCTCTTGAAATGTCCTTTTGGTCACGTTATATGTGTTTTTTCTAAGGGTACTAACATTTTTGTTTCAAGCTTGTTTTATGAGTTAGTTTTTTTTACATAATTTGGTTTAAGCGTGATTGAAAAGCAATGTCTTTATTGTCCACGTGTATATGAAAAAAAATCACAAATCAAATACAGATGATGTGAAACTTACTGGAAGGCTCTTTTGTAAACTCCTCTATGGCTTTATGTGCTCTGAAACTGCATATATGCTACTTCCACTTTCCGAAGAGACAGTTGCTGGTTTAATGAACAATATTTCCCATAGATGCAATCTACCATTCCCTTTAATAAGTTTTAATATCAAAGTAGAAAAAGACAAAAAAAAATCTTCTTTTGAAAAGATTTTCTAAGATTTCGTCACATACCATTTACCTTCAATCTAAAGTCAATATGTTATCAATCTTTCTGGAAAAAAATAGGTTAATTTGGAGTAATCTACAGGGACCAAGTGGCAGTATGTTGTAGAAATGGTGCACAAAAAGTGTTTGAATTGTTAGAAATAACCCACAACAGAAAGGAATTGCCATCAAAACCTAATATGAAGAAATCTCTTCTCTGTTCTTCAGTATAAATGCTACATATGTACAGTATCAACATTTTTAAAGCAGACAGTGTATGAATGGCTCATCCATAATCTGCCATCCAGCTCTTAAGACAGACACCAAACTTCCAAATCAAAAATAAAATCTAACAATTCATAATGATTCCATCTTGAATTAAATAAAGTCTCGTATCTTTAAGGAAGTAAGTGCATAGCTTCCATCAAACGGACTTTAAGGCCTGAGTTTTTCATGACAAGTGTCACACTGTCGCACTGTTTGATCAAGTATCACTTTACATTTCCAAATAAACTTACCCAGTAAAAGAGCAAAACCCATCTTGCAGAGCACTGAGGTAGACAGAAGCCATTCAGCTACAATCACAGAGTGAGGCCCACCTAATGAGGAAAAGAGAAGCAGTGAAACAGATCTGATAAGATAGAATAGAAACTGGTGTTCAAACTACAAAATACACTGTAAAATATTGTAAAGATATAATTAGAAAGACAAAGCTGCAAGCTCTAAACCCTGTTATAATTACAGGCTTGTTTTCAGTACAATTTTTCACAAAGAGCACCGCTGTCATAGCAACCACTGTCTGCAATGTCACTCTGATCAGTAGAAATTCTTGATTGAAGGGATACCAAAAATAAATCCAGTAGATTAAAAGCCCAGACTTACAGAATGTAATCTGTATGCTAGAATGTGACATTACATATATATATATATATATATATATATATATATATATATATATATATATATATATATGTTTGTGTGTGTGTAGGGCAAACCCAGAATCGACATTACAAACCATGTGGGAGGACAATCAGGGGTAGTTTCACTCCTTCCTTTACATCTTTTGGTTTCATCAACACAGCTTCAAAGTCAAGACCCGCTGAAATTCAATAAAAATATATTAACAGTGTGTTTAGTATTGCTAATACAACATTAAATAGGTTTCTTATGGCTATATTACTACTCTGTTGTTAGCAAGCAGTTGTATTTTCAAATGCATTAAGAGAATAAGTTAAACCCCACTAAGAAGACTCCTTCAACACCAAAGAACTACGGTAATAATGGCCACCGCTATCAATGTCCAAATAAGAACGCAAACTTCTTGTTTTATGAGGCATTGAAATACATTTACACAATTAGACAAAACATGTCACAATAAAACATATAAAGAGTAAATCCTTCTCAAGAAAAAAATATATAAAAATCACTATATTTATATAGTAATATAAACACTAAATATTTGATTTTTCAAAATTATTTTCTACACCATTGTAATTAAATACAAAGTTGCCTGATATGTTTTAAGGACAGTTGCTTGTTGAATCATGAGTAAAACATGAGTTTTAAAGCTGCTGCTGTCCTCTTGGCCAGGTCTATCTTGCAAAAGATATTTTAGATCTCAATGGGACTAACCTGGCTAAATAAAGTCTAAATAAATGAAATAAACATCAAATACTAAAAATAAGACCATTCAGGAAGATGTTTTATAATTGAAACAGTTAAAGTAGAAATCCTGTGAATATTTCTGAGGACGATCTTACGGTATTGACTGTTGTCCTGCTCTGCTGGAGGAGTGAAAGTCTTTATCTGCCAGTCAATATCTGGTAAAATCTGAGACTCTTCCAAAGTAATCCAGACCACTTCCTCCTGAGAATCCTTTCCTGGAAGGAAGCCCACCCTCTAAACACAAGAAAAGGTTTGGCTATTAGAGTGAAAATCTCCTGCATTACATAAAGGTCATTTAACAGGTGCTTGACAGTTTTATATAGGAAAAGCAGCAATCCTACCAGACTTGGAGGGCAGTTAGGAGAGGAGCAGCTGACCACCATCAGATCTCGCTCAATGTTCAGCAGACACCAGTTCCCAATGTCAGACTCTAAAACCACAAAACTCATAAATAAATAACAACAAACCCAGACCTGAAACTGTCCTCACTAAAGTAGTTAGCAACTAACTTGTGGTCAGAGAGGTGATGCTTCCTGTGCTTGTGTCCACCACCAACAGCTCCTGAAACACAATGGAATCTCAACACGTTTCTTTACCACTTTGAATGTGACCTTTAATAAAAACTAACAGTACCTTTCTACTGCGCTGGGGACAAGCAACAACAACACGCTGACTATCAGCCGACCAGCACTTTGGTGACAACTGGCTGCTGTAGATGCCGGTGAAGCCGTCTGTGAAGTCAAACAAATCCAGTTGGTTTTCATTTCAATCTCTACAGACGGGTTTAGAAAAAGTGAAAGTGGGTGTTTTTACGTCACCATCAGGCACTACATACCTTCTCTTGGTCGTCCAATGACATCCACAACCACTGAGGTCTTCTTAGTGTACCAGTCGTACTGCAAAAAAAATAAGCAAAGCTCGTCAAGATAAAAAGAGATTCACAAACTAATCAACAAATACTTTAGTTATTCTGTCAAGAAAAAGGGTAGATTTAGTTTTACCATACAGAGCCTGCTGCACTGCATGTGTGGTCCGTACACAGAACATTCTAGATAGACAATTCGGCACTGATCCGGGCTCAGTCTGGGGGAATACACTGCACTGTCTGATGAAAGCTGTTCTGTTAGAGACATTGAAGACAGGTGTGTATAACCAACTTTACGTGATTTTGTCAATTCAAAATTTGAAATAAAATGACATTATTTTTCACTGGGAGTTTATTCACAATGTAAATATTAGCATGGTCGTGTTATTTTACCTTCCAATGGGGGTATATTTTACTTGACAAAAACCAGTAGGCTTTTCTGGCTGGTACAGGTGTTAATTTTTGCATGACATTAAAGACTGTAATGTGTAAAACAGGTAAAAAAAAAAAAAGTGCTGCAAATCATTTAATAGATGATAAAGTTCTGAACAGAAAATGTAAAATTTAAATGTTTTACACCTGTATTTATTGAAGTTTATTTTCCAAACCTTAGTCTTGAGTTATAAAACTAAAAAAAAAAAAAGGAATCAAAGGTTGATTTGTTTCTGGAAAGTTGTAAAGTTAATATATTAATGTGACATTAGTATATGATAACATTAATATATAAACGTTATTTCATGTGAAGGAAAGTTTTAGTTTGATTCTAATTGCGAAAAAAATTGTAATATTGGGATAACTTCTGCTTTATTTAATAAAAAGTAACAATAAACCTATTAGTGACAAAAATATCCAGTGCAGTCCTGTTGCATACATTTACCAAACAGATGTTTACGTGCAAAGTGAGGAGTCAAATCCAATGTCCTGTGCCGCAGCTTTTAAAAGTAACTCTAAAACAGAGAAGACTTCTAGCAAAAACTAAACTGTACTATTTGGGGATGTCCCATGTTTTTGGTGCAGAGAAGAAAGAAAAGTGGGCCGAATTATATCGACTTAAAAGCTGGGATCTTATACTGCATTCAAGTACATCTGTGCACGTTGTATAAATAAAGAAAATAAAAGAAGGAAAATTACTGATTTGAACTAGATAAGTTGTTGCAGCATCCATTCATCCATCCATCCATAGCAACTTCCTCATTGTTTCTTTTGACTGAAGAACACATAAAAAGAACTAGCCTTTGACTTTTGCATAACTTACCATTAATACTTTTATTTGAATTCTGTAAAATCATAACATTTAGATTCAAAATTTATGTTTTTTTTTGTAGAGATTTTTATCAAATGGATTTAACTATCTCTTAAATCAGCTTATAACACTGTAATGCACTTTAGAAGTCCAAGTATAATCAAATATATTAATGAGAACTGTTAGAAACAATTCCTGCTTACCACATTTCCCGCCCGTCAAATCCACATAAAACAAAGAAGACCTGCAAGAGAGAACAGAAACGTAACATTTATTTGTGATGGAAATTATTTGAACTAAAAAAAAACTTTAATGCATATTTAGTATGCTACAGTCCAAATGTCTTAAGATGGAACTTTATTTTTTTAAGCACCTCCGATTGGGGCAGTACTTCAGGCCTAATCTGAAAGGCTCATGCCACCAGCCGACAAACACCACACCTGTGTCACCTGGGGCCCAAAATGCCTGGATAATAGAGGAAAGATCACCAAAACCAAAAGACACATTAGGATGACAGAAACTTTCATGCAAAGCTGAAATGATTGCAGTGTAGAGCAAACCTGTCCAGGTGAGATGCTGTCAGGCACTCCTTCCAAAACAGACACATTGTCCCCCTCTATGTCCAAAACACACAGCACTGGACAGCTCTTGCTAACTAATGCCTCCCCCCAGTCCTCATGGTAGACAAACTGCTCCCCCTGCAGGATTAAATTGACACAGACACTATAATGTAGCATAATGTAATGTGATGGAAAGAGATCAAATCAGCTTTTGACAACAATCTACTGCGTTCACTTTAACCGTGCCTTTTTCTCCGTCCTCAAGGTCAGCTCCTCATCTTCAATGGAAGACAAGTCCGGCAGCTCCGACTGTAAAGAGAAAATGAGAAATGGAGTGGAAAGTTGTTAGCCACTCAATCTAAAATATTTTAATCATCTCAGGAGTTTCTTTTCCTCTAAAAACATGCTTCACTGATTTCACTGATGTCATGGAATGTTGAGTTTGAAAGACAATGGAAAATAGCTCAGGTTCATTCATTGTGAAAGCACGTAAAGAGTGAACCAGTTTGCTGTGTTTTCTTTTTCTGATTGAGAGATGGTGTTATCTTAAAGAAATGAAACAACTTCTGGCATGTTTATTTTAGCTGCTGAGGGCACTTAAGCAGTGATTATTCTCTGACTTTTTAAGGACATGCACTTCATTCGCTTGTTGAAATAAAATGGAACTATTTAGATAACATTATATGCCACTAATTGTGAACAAAAAAGGTTGATAAAGAAACAGCTGTCTCAGGTTTACAATGCATACTAAAGTGGTAAATCTTTCTGAAAACAAAAATCTACTTTCATTTCTTTCTGCAACTCACCTGGAAGAAAGATTTGGCCTCAGGACGCTTTTTCTCTGCAACATACAGGAGGTGGGTTTCTGAGTGCGACCAAACCAGGCTGCCAAATTGCTCTGAAGAGGCATAGAAAACAAAACAATAAAAGTCAGAAGTTACAGCAAACTATTAAACCAAATGTGCTGGTTTATATGCTCTTCCTGGAGATGATTTACCATCCTCATAGACTTTGCCATGTTTCTTTAAAGCTGTTAGATTGATGCTCTTCACCTTGATGTTTTTACTCCAGATCTAAAAAAGGGTAACATAAACAGTTTTTAAGATTTTAATTGTAAGATCACTCGTGAATAATTCCTGAACAAAGAAAAGTACAATAAGTATACTGCAGCTTAATAGCTGGGACTCCCTTCAAGTAATATTTATAAATTATTACTTGGAAAACGTCTAGTTTAAGAAAAAAACACCATTCAGCATTGTTTAAATCAGACACTACTTCTAAGTAAGTTCAATCTCATAAATAACTTTTTTTTTTTTTTTTGTTAACTTCATTGAAAACTGACATTTTGCTACAACCCTGGAGATTATTAATCTGAGGTTCAGTGGGTGCACTTTTGGAGAGTTTTCTCTTTAGTTATTTTGTTTCCATCATTTTTGGAATTTACTTTAAATGCTTAGTACACTAGTTTTCACTAGATGTGGATGGCGCCAATTGTCTGCATTGGATGGCGCACATGACGTGAAATAAATATTTATAAACATTAAACTGAAGCCAAGAGTAACGAGTAGCATTTTAAAAATGTAAGGAATAGAAAGTACAGATACGTGTTTGAAAATGTAATGAGTAGAAGTCAGAAGTAGGAAGAAAAATAGGTAATGGAGTAAAGTACAGATACCTAAAAAGTGTACTTAAGACACCTCTGATCCAGGGTGGAAATTAATTACAAATGTGAACAGTTGTGCTCAGTGGATACAGCTTCTGTTTGATATATATGCATTTTAACCTCTGAATAATTCACCACACACCTCCAGAAACTGCTTCTCCTCTCCTTTAATGGAGCATTCTCTGATTACTGCCTTCATTTCACCAGAGGGAGAGTCTTTACTCAAAACTCTGCGGAGAAGCAAACAAAAAGACACAGCTTTAGTTTCCTAACATTATGACTCAAATTAACTAATATTTATAATTTAAATAAAACAGCTATTGACATACTCTCCTTTGATTTCAGTGCAGTTTCCAGATGCTCCAGAGTAGACCACCGACTTGTCATCATGGAAAACAATGTATTGCCTGCAGAATCTGACACTCTCATTCCTCTCCAGGTCACGCTGGCTCCACTCTACAAAGACAAGTAATCATGCATACTGTGATTAAGATGATCATACAGAAATGGAGACATTTTGGAGTGACTCATATTGGATGTACCTGTGTATATGTTACTGTATTTGCCTCCATACTGGGAGGTAATAACAGGTCCAATGTCTGCTCTGCTTAAAGAGGGAAAGAGGCTGAGCTCTCTGTAGAGTTTGGCGATTTCATTCGGGTTGGTGATCATCTGACAGACAAAAGAAGAACAACATCGCCTTAGTGAAACCAAATGTTTGACTGCGAACAATGCCCGATTCATTTCAAAGCTAAGTAGCTAGCCTCCAATGAAAAAGTTAGAAAATAAATATTTGGCCGACTTGTTGCGTCAAACATCAGATGTGCATTAAAATATAAGGATCCATCAGAGAATGGATCATTCTGTGGGGATTGAACAGCTCGGTCCAGATGACAGGGAACTTCCTGCTGGAACTGGCAGCAAACTACGGAACCTGGATCTACCAGCTTGCTTTGCCGTAAAGCAGAATATTTGGTCGATATCGAATCTCTGTTATATTGTTCGACATAATCGTTTTATAAATAATAAAGATCAATGGTCATTTAATAATCTTAAAAATCCTACCTGTGACTCCATAGCAGGAACGGTCAATGGGTCGGTAACAACTGTTCAATTGACCACACAATGAAGGGTGGACTTCATATAGAAAAAAAGGGGAGTAGAAGTTAACGTTGATGCCGCTGCCATATTGTGAGTGGCGTGTTTTGCTGTTTTCTTCTTATTCGTTGTTAAATTGGCGCCACCTACTGTACATGAGTGTGTAGCTCTATAGTTCCACCTACTATATTCTATTTTTTGTGTTCTGTAAAAATAAAAACAATGCTTTATTAATAACCAGATTTTCCTCCCTATCTCTATCTGTCCCTATAATTCCTTTAATACTCCATTGTCTCCCTTTTTCCACAATCACTTTCCTCATCCTCTCTTTTTCAGTTGTATATTTAATGCAACCCATCAAAACATGATCCACAGTTTCTTTTCTTTCACAACCCTCACATTAATCAATATTTCTCTTCTCTGATAAAAACAAAAACTCATTCAAGTAGGAATGTCCAGTTCTTAATCTAGTATAAATTATCTCCTCCCTTCTGCTTCTTTCTCCATAATTTTTTTAACAATTTCAGATTTTTGAACCCTATATATTCTTTGTCCGCTCTCATCTCCATCCCATATTTTTGCCACAATTCTGTTTCTTTCTTTTTAATTATTGATTTACCTTCCCCTTTCCCAAATGGAATCTGATCTATATAAATTATATTCATCAAAAATCCTTCATCTTATATTTTTATTAATGTATTCTCTTTCAGTTTTGTCCTGGAATTATTATTTTAAAGAACAATAAACGGTATAATAGTTTTGGGAAAGTATTAGTTTTACTTTTGTGGGTATAACCGGCGATATAACTTCCTCCTTCACCACATAGTTCATTGCTGCAATGGAGGAAGGTGGATTGATGTGGGCAGGATGTTTTTATTTGGTGCTGAACAGTTTTGTTTCACTCTTTGCAGAATAAACACACCATTTATTGGCTGACTTGTAACGACTGAACGGCTCATCATTACACAACGCAGGGGCTGGTTATATATATATATATATATATATATATATATATATATATATATATATATATATATATATATATATATATATATATATATATATATATATATATATATATATATATATATATATATATATATATATATATATATATATATATATCCATTCCCACCATAGAAATGACTGTATGTTACTATATCTAAAACGGTTGACCGGTTTTAGTCAAACTGGGCCTCTTCTTTCATTTCGAAAGCTGTTTAATGTCAGGTAGCTTTACTGCGAATTTGCCACTCGCAATATGGCGGACACGCTCACGTATATTGCTACTGCCCAAAAGCAATGCAGCATCTACTATTCAACCTCTATATGGCTCTATAACGTAAAGGTAGCTGAATCAACAGTTCAAGCATCCGGTTTCCAAAATAATACAGAAAAGAAAGACAAACACTTATTTTGGCAACATATATTATGATTTTGCATTGCCCCTTAATTATTAATATATATAATACAAAAGTGCAAATAAGAATGCCGTTTCCAGTTGGGAAGGTTTAGTTAAAGTGGTACATCGTTTTTCCTTTTATTTTGTAGATGTAAACAGGAAAACAAACGATTTAAAATAAAGTTCTTGGAGGTAAACTTCTTTTTCAAGTTGTTGGCTAAAGGTTGTTCTTAGCTGCTTTTGATATAGTAGAAAGGGAAGCATAGGTTTTTGTATAAACGATTTTTAAATATTGGAGTTCTCTTTTGTGTGAGTGAGAGCCCCTGCAGTGGAAGTGTCCGTCAGCTGGGAAAGGTGGGGTCATATTACAGGAAGCCAAGATGGCTGACTTTGAGGAGCCACTGTCAGATGAAGAGAAGGTTTGGTTACAAATTCTTTGTTTACTACCCATTTATTTTAAATGTATTTTTGAATGACTTTCCAGGTTTATATACTCTCAGTGCCTCGAACGGAAAAGATAATGCCAGTGTTCAAATACTTGCGGAAAACGCAAACTTGTGTTTGAAGCTACCATGAGCTAACTAGGCTATGCTAGTGACGCTTGGCTAGCTGCGGTATCAAATGTTATTGGGGAGGTGGGAGGTGTTAACCAGTCCGACGCCCTGTTCTGGACTACTGTTAGTAAATTTATTGAAGCATTTAAGCGTACTTCCTGAATCTGCATTAACGTTTCCTGCTAAATTAGTCATTGGTCGCAGGTTCTTCCCTAACAAAAATAACAGTTGGCTAACATTAGCAGCTAATGTTACTTCACAGATTTGTGGGTCAAACAGATTCAGTTGCAGCTAAAGTATGTCACTCATTCGAAATGCCTTCAGCTTAGGGAGAACTTTACATCAACTTTGATTATTACTAAGTTTATTTGAGGATGTAATGCAAATGTAAACTGCCATTTCTGCCCCGTAGGTTAATCTAGATATATAACGAAGCAGTGATGTGACTTCTATAAAAGGAAAGAGACTAGCCAGGTGACATTCCTCTGATAACAGAAAAGTATCACACAGGTCTGTTGACCTGCTAAACAGGGTCAGGTGACTCGTTTGAATCTACATCCAACCTCTGTTTTACAAAGTTACAACCTATAGCAAGTTGCTTGGTTTCCCATAAATACTAGGACTGGGAGAAACGACCAAAACTTGATATATTTCCTAATTTCTTGCAATGTATATATGGATATAGATAAACTAAAGCCTCAGGAAGACAGCCAAGAATGTCCACAACAGATACTTGTACTTGCCTATACTTATGATGTTTATACATACGTAAATATGTTTTTGCTGTGTTTATAACTGTGTGCAGTAGGAGCCCCAGAGTACAATCAGTGCTCTAAAGCTTAAATTACTTGATATTTAAAATGTGATTTCACCTTACTGGTCGCTTTAAGCGGCTATACGGCTTTACAATACACAAAACTGGGTTTACTCACTTTTTTATTTTTATTTATCTATTTTTTTAGAAACTGAAAGCCCGATATTTGCCTCATCTTTCATGAATGCAAAAGCGGAAATGTTCAAACAAAGCAGAACATTTAAAATATCTTAATCAAGTTTACAAACTAGAATAGTTTATCATTATCTAAGGTAATATGTTTCTAGCAGATGCTTTTAGTTCATTATATGTGTTTGTTTATTCTGAAGTGTATAGTTGTAAGGATGAGATGCAATAAATTATTTTTTTTTTTTTAAACTTCTGCAGGTCCGCATAGCGGCAAACTTTGTCACTCATGCTCCACCTGGAGAGTTCAATGAAGTCTTCAATGGTAAGAAGTTGGAATGTCCTTCGTATATCTTTCTCTTCCTGGCAATGATCTTACACAGCTGAATTGAGAGTTTTTCTTATTTTCCTCCAACGTTATCATTTCTACTATACAAGAACAGTTGAGTCCAATATTACTCTTAGTCTCAGCTTTTGTAAAGCTTTTTTTCTGTAGTTCTTAAAATAGCATATTTTTCTTTTATTTTAATGCTGCTATTGCTTTTTGGATGTTTTTTTCTGTTGTTTTTTATTTTTATTTTTTTGCCCTCTCAAAAACATAACATCAGTTTCTGTTTGTCTTTCTAGATGTTCGACTTCTTCTCAATAATGACAACCTCCTCAGAGAGGGGGCTTCCCAGTAAGTAGTATTTACTTAACATCAGAAATGGAAACATTTATAATTTCGATTTTTAAATTGACATATTTAGCAAACGCAATGTATGTGCTAATATAAATGTGTTATTTGTAAGCAAGTAAGTAGAAAACATATTCTTAAATACTCTTATTCTTTGAAAGCCTTCAGAGACAATTAAAGGCAGTTACCAGGTCGGGCTTTTATTACCTGAAGAATATCTCCAAGGTTAAAGGACTAATGTCTAAGCAGGAGCTAGAAAAGCTTATTATTACATTTACTCTTAGCAGCATTGACTACGTTAACAGCGTCACTAGAACTAAGGAAGTAGAGCACATCAGCCCTGTTAGAGCGATTCTACAGCCCGTAGAATTGCCTTTGATTGTTTTAGTTAAACTGTTAACTGAGATATCATTAGTTCAAGGTTGAGATCCAACTGTTTTTTTTTTTTTACTACCTGCTTTTATATTTATTTGCTTTCTTTGTGATTTTATTTTTCTTCTATTTATTGTTAAATTCATATAAAGCACTTACATTGGATTTGTATTGAATTGTGATATTGAAATAAACCTGCCTTGCCATGAAAGTTAGCATTTTTAAAGTCTGCATTATTCTTGTTTAAACCCTATTGCCAGGTCCTTTGCTCAATACAACATGGATCAGTTTACTCCTGCCAAAATCGAAGGATATGAAGACATGGTATTTATTTACTTTTCTCTCAGACAAAAAAAAAAAAAACGGAAAAAATTACAGTAACGGCTTCTACAGTATTCTTTCACTTATGTTTGTTTTTTTAGGTCCTGATAACAGAGCATGGTGATTTGGGTCAGGGGCGATTCCTGGACCCACGCAACCGTTTATCGTTCCGCTTCGATCACTTGAGGAAAGAGGTCAGTGATGTGCAGCCCCATGATGGAGAGGGGGCCCTGAGAAGCTGGAGAGATGCCTGTGACACTGCCCTTAGTGCCTACGTCAAAGAGCACTACCCTACAGGAGTCTGTACGGTATGTTACACTTAAATATTGGCTGGTTAAAATCAACATCCTCTTTTATTCTTACAGTCTATATTTCACAGGTGTATGAGAAAACAGTTGATGGTCAGCAGACAATTATAGCCTGCATTGAAGGACATCAGTTTCAACCCAAAAATTTCTGGTAAGTTCTTCCTCTGTACCTGAAGAATCTTTGATCTGTAACGATAAACTGCCAAATGAAGCTTTAGAGGTTTTGGTTACTGTAAATGTCTCTGTGCTTGTCTGTATAGTAAGGCTTGCTTTGCTTTCTCCAACAAAGGAACGGCCGCTGCAGGTCAGAGTGGAAGCTCACTCTTGGTCAGTCCTCTGCTCATGTGGTTGGAGTTTTGAAAATCCAGGTTAGTGTGGAAATCTAACTCTAGGAATGTGCTGCTTGAATCGTACACGATTTGGAGCGTTTTCTTTACATTAATTTCAATGCTGTAAAAACTGCAAACATTCACAGACTGAGAGAGAAGATTTTTTTTTCACTCTGAGTTTATAGTAGAATATTAAAATATATGATGAAGTTTTTACCTAAGATGATGCAGAACGCTACTGTACATATTTATGCCGCTCTGCCACCTAATTCAGGCTGTTATCAGTAATGTCGTAAGTTTGACTCTTAACTCAGGGTAAGACTTGACCTCCCATCCACTAAGGTGTAAAATGTTTAGCAGGATACTTAAAAAAACAAGGAAAGCAACAGTCAAACTGAAAAACGACTCTTCTGGTAGCTCATATTTTAAAATCTTATCATAAAACTTGATCATTTTAAAGAGAAGGAACAGTTCACTATCCCAGATCGTACCAAGATCTTATGGTTTCCAACCCTGGCCCACAGGGCCCACTGTTCTGAGAGTTTTCCATTTGTTTCTGATGACTCAGATGATTGTACTACCCATTTCTGCAGGCCTTAAAGCTCTACAGAGTTTTTAAAGACCCATTCATTCATATCAGATGTTTAGTGACAAGGAAACTGCTAAAACAAGATCTAGAGCTGGCCCTGAACAGGGTAGGTAGGGAACAACGGGCCCTGTGCCACATGGTGTTGCTTTACTGGTTGTACAAAGCTGAAGATATAATCTATGGACAGATGATCACTATTTTTGCCTGTTGGTCACGTACCTCACACGGTACATGCTCCATCTTTGTTATACCCGACAGCGGGCTGCTATCACAACAAATCCCATGATGCTTTGCGAGGAGCGCTCTCGCAAAGCATTCTTTACTATATCTGCTTGTCTAGTGACCATGGATGATCACTACTTTTCAAGATGCATTGGAATGTTGTTAACCTTCTGAACTCTATTCAGAAGGTTATATCTATGAACTATCTATATCTACTATCTATGAACAGTATTTTATCTTTGTCAAGGTGCATTACTATGAAGATGGGAATGTCCAACTGGTTAGTCATAAGGAGGTTGAAGACTCAGTTGTAGTGACTGTAAGTAAATATTCAGTTTTATGTGCAGCAGAACCTGTAAACACTTCAGGATACAGTAAGGATCATTTTATGTTTCATTTTGCAGAATGAAAGTCAAACCGCAAAGGAATTTGTTGAAATAATTAGGAATGCTGAAAATGAATACCAGGTACGCATCCATTTTCATTTCTTTGCAACTCCCCACACACATTTTCAGATTTTTGTATGAAAAGCATCTTAATGGATAACTTGTTTTCCCCCCCTAAGACTGCAATCAATGAAAACTACCAGACTATGTCTGACACGACCTTCAAGGCTCTGCGTCGCCAACTGCCTGTAACGCGCACCAAGATCGACTGGAATAAGATCCTAAGTTACAAAATTGGCAAGGAGATGCAGAATGCCTAGTGGAGGAAGGTCGGGGACTGACCAGGATGATGCACACTCCCATGGGCCCACAACCCATCTATATATGCGCAAGGACTAACCAAAGCATAACTATATTAATGTGGGGAAGGAAGTAAAGTAAAATGTAACTCAATGTTAGCGGGCTGCTGTCACAGATGGGTCTGCTGTAAGGAAGGTGCAGGTATTATGAAAATGATGTTTTGGAGAAAAGGTTTTACTTTTGAATATGTGTTGGGACAGTGTGCAGGGCTGTGCTCAGGACTGCTTCATTAAAAAAACAACAAAATGTTTAAGAAATCATGTAACTGTGTACCTTCAGGTTAAAACAAGGGTTTTGGTGAAACTAATCCAGAGTCACTGCTCTCAGCACACAGGGCACAAAGCAGCTGTTGACAGAAACCAAGCACACAATCTCATATCAGGGATTGACTTACGTGGGAAATTAATTTTCCAAAAGGTTTTTTTTTCAGTCATTGTTTACTTTGCATGGTTGGACTGAAAATCAGCTTCAGTATTGGAATTTTAATATGGCCAGAAAAGGAAATTAGGTAAGGGTAAGTTACACACAACAGACAGAAGGTTAATAGTATTGCTCATCTGTAATACATAATCCAAACACAGTTCAAAGCATTTAAATGTTAAGTAAAGCCTAACACAGCCCTGTTGTACAAGTGTTCTAGCAGCTGTATGTTTTTCTGTCAGATCCGAGGGAATGTTCACCATCTCTGCTGAGCTCCGCTAATGCTTTATCTCTCCATTCATGCAAGTTCTGGCGACAGAATTAAGATAAAGCCACATCTGCTGCATCCATTTTACATCCTCTGTTCACTTTTTGGTATCAACTTTGCTGTAAATGGTTTTCCTTTTTTTGCAAAGGAAAGCATGGTCATATTAACCAAAATTTATTTGCCAAAATCTCTTTCCTATGGTAAAGAACTCCATCTCCCTGCTCACATGTTTAAAATTTCTATTTTACTATACTGTCTTTTTTTGCTGGAGTCTTAGCACATTGCACTCATAATTGTTCAAACTGTATAAGTCGATGCCAAGTGAATGCAAAGACGTCGCCATGTGGCAAGATGATATACTGTAAATGTAGCGTGACTCCTACCAAACACCTGTTCTACATGTCTTATGAGTAGGCTGACTCTTGATTAGTTACTTGTTAGCCACGCGATGTGCTGTGTTCGAACGCCATTATATAAGAGTGTGCTGATGAGTTATAAAGGTATAGACTGTACTGCCCCATCCTGTTCAAATAAACTGACTTACAATCCAATGGTGTGTGATAAAGCATGGCTTTGATTGGATTGTTTTACATTTTAATAGCCCATTGAATTAAAAGATAAGCTTATTCAGCTTTGCGTGTATTGAGGTCAATTGCATGATGGCTACTTGAGTAAACACTATGGGTAAAAAAAACAAAAAACAACTTTATATTATAGCTTGTTTGTTTTTTTTTAGCAAAAAGAGTTCACCCTTGAGTCTGAGCTAGAGTTTAATTCTAGGGACCTATAAACTGGATGTCACCATGAATATAGGAGGTAAGAACTACTGTCACAATGTCTTCAGAGTTTTAGTTCACATTTGAAACTATTGATTTAAGATCAAATCCAAAAAGGAATTCTTCAGAAAATATATTTCCAAGAGACCCTTTAAACCAGGGGTCTTCAACGTTTTCGAGGCCAAGGACCCCCAAACTGATTGCCAGATGGAGCGAGGACCCCCTAATTATATATTTTGTATGAAATTGTGTTATATCAAACTGGTCCTATAGTCACTCTATTACATATGGAGTCATGTAACGAAAGTCATTTCTCCCTGGGATTATTAAAGTATTTCTGATTCCTGTTTGATGGGACAGGTGTTGTGAATAAAACAGTGCCCAGGTTTTAAAGAGCTCCTGTGTGTCGCTGAATGTGTGCATTGATGACTGAAAGACATCTTCTGCTTTCATTTATCTGTTTACTACAGTGTGTTGAATTCATGTTAATGTGGGTTTAAAGACATTTTAATTAGTGCAAAAAATTGCAGGAGGGAATATAAAAAAAAGTAATCAACCAAGACTTTCGCGACCCCCATGCAGTACCTCAGCGGACCCCCTAGGGGTCGCGGACCCCCTGTTGAAGACCTCTGCTTTAAACTAATAATATGATTAAAGCCCATTTTGTAATAGCTTAGTGTCATTCTCCCCCATACTCCCATCCTGGATGAAGTTAAAAACAGGGATTAATTATATTCCAATGACTAAACACTAAAAATAAACTTGACAGATTAAACCAAGTCGTCTTTATAAAAGTTTCAAGACCGATCGTTTTTATTAGTTTCACAGCCTATAGGAGACATGGACCTAGGGTTGGTTGTGCGTTTTCAGCAATAAATGCGGAGGATGGTAATTATGAGCATTTACTAGTGAGAGTTGAGAAGGGCAGGTTGAACATGTAAAGTTTAATATAAATTGGCAAAACAGGTGTTTTACTTTATTTTTTTGATAGGTGAAGACAAAAAATGGTAAGAGAGAAACAGAAATAAGTGCAGAGCATTGCACATATTGCGACAGAAAAAACCCCATTTACAGTATAAATTTTCAAAATTGTGTTAAAAACTAAGAACTACTAAACCTCACAAAGCATCATCTTCCGTTTGTGTAGAGTTCAAGATTCCCTGGATATACAGGGTTGATATAAAAATGTGTTGATGTGAGGACAGAGCAATGCAGTGCAAAATAGGCTCAGAACAAGCCTAAATGTCTCCATGACAATGAAAATAAAACAAAAAAATAACGATACATGCATCTGAACATTATTCATAGCAAAACTTTGACATATTTACAATACAAAACTGTGGTCCATCTCCATAAAATTTGCATAGGGACTCACAAGAACATAAAAAAAATATTTTTCATGTAAAGTGGTAATAGCTACATCTTGATCTGCTCCCTTAGCCAATAGATTAACGACATCTTTTTTATTTCAGCTTTGACAATTAAATCTTTAAGTAAAAAAAAAAAAAAAAAATGGCTTAATGCTTGGCCTCATAAATACTAAAAATTCTATGATTTAGCTTTTACAGTAACTGCTGTTATAGGAATGGGAAAAATAAAACAAATAAGGGAATTTCTTATATTCCTTAAAAAGTTTTACCCACTTTTTTCTCATGTGCTTTTGAGGTAATAATACAAAAAAATATATTAAAAAAAGTATTGTTTTGGGATTTAATGTGATAGACCAATGCAAAGTAAAGCATTATTGGGAAACATAAAGGGAAAATAGTTTAAAATGTTTTTACCAAAACAATCTTAAAAGGTGTGGCTTTTATAAACGTGCTCACCCCTATTTCCTCTGATACTGGGGCAGGGGAATTGATTGCATTTGCAAAATAATCAAAATTTTACAAAACGCGGTTTAAAACTAGCAGAGGCACACAATTTTGGTAATATTACATTCAACAAGAGAAAGACAATGACTTTCTCCAGCCCTTTAGGTAATGCAGCCACACAGAAGGGTAGATTAAGTTGCAGATAACAAGCATGCAAGTGGAAGTAAACAATATTCCACACGACAGTGAGCATAAAGTCATGCAACAATGAACATATATATGCTTCTGTTTAGTGCAGAGGAAAATCAGAATAAAATCATTTTGGTAGGAAAAAAATCACAGTTGATTTTGGCAAAATTGCAAAGCATTATCTGAAACCACTAAGAAAATCCAGTAAATCCCTTTTTTCTAGAATTAGTTAACAGATTCACCTTTGGTGTTTATTAGTCTCATAATAAATCCAGCTGTGTCCAAGGTCTCAGAGGTCTGTTAGAAAACATCAGGTAAGAAACAACATCATGAAAACCACTGAACACAGCGGACAGGTCAGTGCTGTGAAGAAGTTTTACACACTGTTGCGTTATTATACAATATTTAAGGCTGTTAATATGTCACTGGCCCATCCATCACTGAAACAATGCAGAGAATTAGCCTCCACCTAAGTGACAGGCTGGTAACCAAGATGAAGCTGCAGAAACTGCAGCTCATATAGGAGACAGGACAAATATTAGTTATACAGTCCAGCAATCCGGCCTTTATAGATAAGAGGGTAAAAAATAAAACAGTTATTGAAGGGCAAACGAGAAATTTGCCCCTGTCCATATAGTATATATAGAACAAGCATGTTCATGTCAGATTAGATGAAAACTGGAATAGGGAAGATGATGTAATTAAATTCAGAATCAAAATAGTTTATTGATGGAAAAGGGAAATAAATGATAAGACGGATAGATTTAAAGACATAGCAATCTTAGAACAAAGTCCGGTTAGAGGCTGCAAAAAGCTTTAACCAAGGGTGGAGGTTTATCGTCCAGCAGGCAAGTGACCCTGAAGGTACAGTCAGCGCAACTATTGAAATGTTTTGTTAAACATTTATGCACTGGAATGGCCAAGTCAAAGCTCAAAAACTTGAGATCAAAATCTGAGGCAAAACTAGCTGTTTGACATTGATATCCATCTAATCTGACCGATCTTAGGCTATAAATAGGCTAGCAGGTTTATTTGCAGCACAAACAGGTTCTGAAACCGACTGACACTGTGGGAATAATGCACTAGTGCTACTTTGTGCCAGCCTATCAAACATTTCAGGAACAACCTTTAACATAGACAAAATGTGAAAAAAGATTGGATGGTATGAATGCTTTTACAAGGCATTTTACCTTTACAGTGACAGGAATGCTAATTTAGAGTTTAAGAGGGATAGTTAACATCAGAAACTATAGGAGCAGATTTTTTCAACAGTTTCTAAGAAGTGGACATTGGACCCTAGGATAAGACCAAGTCTGATTCCTTGGATGCCTCCTGCCCGCTGCTGCTGTGCCCACAGTTCCCAGTCAGTTCTGGAAAGAGGCTGGTCCGAGCAGAGTGATTAGGGGAACCTGGAGTTGGACTCATGCCGGGCCTTTTAGGTGGTATTGGAGGAGGATGGGTCTTCTCTGAACGAGGAGTAATGGGAGAGCGAAATACTGGAGATAATGGCCCTGAAGAAGGCGACCTTCCCCCTGTAGGAGATGCTGCCAGATTGCGGTAGTCTGTGCCAAATGGAGAGTTGTTAATCGTTGGCGACTTCGCTCCAGCCTGCTGGCTGGTAAAGCGGGACAGCACCTGAGTGACAGTGTTGCGGGCCAGCTGCTTCGCCGCGCTGTGTTCTGGTGGAGGAGGAGTGGAGGCGGTGGTTGGGGAGAGGTCTCTGGGGGAAAGGGGTCCACCGTGCTGCTGCTGATCCAGTTCGGCCTGACTCTGAAACTTGTGCCTTGCAGCCTGAAATCGTTGGTTGACTCCAGCCTGATAGGACTGAAGGAAGCCCGGGCTGCCCAGACGCTTGGCTAGAACCGGAGAGGAAACAGGGGAGGAGGAGAGGGAAGAGGAGGCAGTGCTAGAGGGAGACTGAGGATGAGGAAAGGGGTGAATAGGGGAATACAGAAGTGCTCCACCTCCATTATCCACTCCATTTTCTGCTCCTTTCCCTTCATGTGCTAATGGATCCGTCTGTTTATGAGCCTGCAGACCATTGACCTTTGGCAGCGTAGCCGACTTTGGAGTGATCTTTCCATCTGGTTCAGTCTGAACAGAGCTGGACACCATCTTACCCTGTGACTCCTTTACCTCAGTCACAGCCTCTTTTACCTCTGTTTTACATTCTTGGGGCTCAGCTAACCTTTTTTTAAGTTCTTTCACTTGTTTTTCAAGCTCCCTGCCCTTCTCCTCCTCTGCTTTCAGTCTGGCTTTCATCTGCTCTCTTTCAGCATCAAACTCAGCCACCTGTTTCTCCGACCTGGCCTCAAGCTGGGCCACCCTGCTCTTCTCGTACTCAAGAACTTGCTGGAGTTTCTCAAGTGCGCAGGTCTCTTCTTGCAGCAGCATGTGGAGTTGCGAGACCTTCTGGGCCTCCTCCTGAGCTTGGCTGCTAGCCTTCTGGAGCTCCAGCGTCAGACTGGAGGAGAGCTGCTGCTGCTGGGACAGCGACTCCTCTACCTTGCTCACCACTTGCATCTTTTCCTTCTCCAATCTCTGCACTGTGGCACGCTCCACTTCCAGCTAGACAAGAGAAACAGAAATATCAATGGAAGCAGATCATCTGCTTTCAACCACAAGGTGGCAACAACGAGCTGCTCGTTTAACTACACAAAAGTTTTTTAATTAACTGATAATACTTTCAAATAAAACCATTTTCACTACACACTCTCTTTAATTATTTCTATAATAGGTGTGCTTTAAAATACATTCACCATATTATACATTTCGGCTGTTCACTAGAATCCTGTGCATTTGTGTGAATGTTAAATAGTTTATCTGACACTGAAAAGAAAAGCAATGCTTCATTTTTGGTAGGAATTTGAGACTTGCTTCTATATAAGTTTTCCCTGGCCTTTTTAAATGTGGTTCTAGTAAAATAACCATATTTGAATCTTAAACATTTTTTAATAATGATCTGGCATGGTATCCTTATGTAGTAACCTTTCCATCAGGCTACTAAGAAATGTAGTCTTAATATAACTTTTTTGAGTATTAAAGGAAGTTGGAGGTGATGAAATAAACCAAGTCTTTGAAAAAACAAAAACTAAACAAACGAAAAAAAAAAAAACATAACACCAAAATGCAGGAGAGCCCCTGGAAGATGCTAAGGGATGCTGTGTTACATAAGGCCCTTGTGCAATTGTGTGCTCACAGTGTGTGTTTGCCAGCTGACCTTGCATTAGACATTAACATCCTTTATCTCAGATTTCCTGAGGCCATAAAGCACCATGGCTGCAGGACAACTAAACAATAGCCTTTTCCTCATCTGTTTCCCATGGAACAGTTCTGGGCTTCTACATCCAGTCTGTGTGTGTGTGTGTAAATTATATAAAGGCCATGCCCTCTCCACCCTACTGCGTTACACAGAGGAGCTGCCTGTGTAGCTTCCCTACTCTGTCATTTTGTTTTAAATCACAGAATGGACACTAAGGAAGAACACAGTGCAGACAGTCACATGAGACAGGAACAGAATCCTCTTCAGCAGATGTAGGACCCTCACCTCTTTGTTCAACTTTTTCCATGTTTTGTCACATTACAACCAGGAAGTATTATAGTGGGGCTTTTTATAATAGATCAACATAAGTTTTAAGCATCAAAAACCAGTGATTTTCAAAACAATTTTAAAGCTGGAATCTAAAAGGTGTATAAATGCATCTCTTATCTAAGAGGGACTATTAGTGTCACTTGCAGTTATTTTAGGTGTCAAAAAAGATGTTGGGATTGTTTTCTCTTTTCTGGTACAGAGTAAAGATGAACATTTGAGATTGAACATGAAATTTGATTTTAATTTTAATAAAGTGGAATTGGTGAAAAAAAAAAAGCAGAATCCTTTTAGTGAATGAACATAAAGTGTACAGAATATAGTGGAAATACAATTCTTAATTCTTCTGTGAAAATAATCTCAACCTGAATAAGATTGTTAGGAAAGTGCCTTTGAATGACAATCTTCAAAATTTGTGAAAGTTTCTCAGTTGGATTCAGATATTTTACTTAGCAATTCAAGCACATCAAAACTCTTTGATCTAATTACCTAAAGTGAAACTTATTTAATTTCAAAGTAGTCACTGAAGTGGTAAAAATCTGCTGACCCAGTATAGCGTGAATTTCATTCCATTATTGTTGAAAATAAAGAATGCATTTTCTAAATGAAAATTGAAAAACAAAATCCAATCCAGAAATGAAATTTTAAATACTTCTTAATCCCTCCCCCCCTTAGAGTTTATCTTTTTTAAATTATTTTTGTAATTTTTTGTTTTTTGTAATTTTTTCTTATTTTTTAAACTGTTTTTTTTTTCTTCAATTTTCTCTTTTTGAGATTTCTTTTGAAATAGATGATTTACAGATCACATGGTCTACACTTTGAACCCAATACAAAAGCTCGCTCATGTCCATACAGACAAATAGAAATGCATTCACTCCAGAGAAAAGCCCACCCCCAGAATTGAAGAGAAGTTGATATTTAAAACACCAATTAATAAAACCCAATCTGAAAAGAGAAATTTAGCTTTAATTAGATCCTGATAAATACAATCTATTATAAAGTCACTTTTAAAGGTAACTGATTACATTAGTTTCATTGAAGGGTGCTCTATCACAGTAAGGAGGCTGAATGTAAATGCATGCTGCACTTTTTAGATTTGCACCATAAATCACTATCCTCCAACTTCACAGTTATTTGGTACTTTGGGCTTCTATTTTTAATAAAAACATGGAAAAAATAACAATTAATTTAGGGTGGTAATGTAGCGAAACATAAAAATGTTTAAGAATGCTTAAGAAAAACATTGAAGTATTTTTTTCATGTCACTGACATGGATGTTGTTGCAGCATTCATTAAGCTTCACATGTCACACACCTCCTGCAGCATCTTGTCTCTTTCTGTCTCTAATACGAAGACATAGTCAGCACGGCGAGCAGACTCATGGGCGTACCGTTGTTTCTCCACCTCCAGATCAGCAATCATCTGAATAATGACAGACAAGAAATATTCAAAATATTGGGCATTAATATGTACCCAGGTTTTCTTATGTAGCCAAAATGAAAGTGATTCAATCTAATTCAATATTTAAGAGGTAAGAGGACAGTGAAATGTCTCAGTGTTGAGACCAAAGCATTAAAAATATTGTTCCCAGGGTTCTTAAAAAAACCCTAAACATGATCTGCATCATATCTGGTTGGAAAATGAATTAGGCAGTCTAAAGGTTAATGACTTATTCACTCCGACAAAGATTAGGTCTGCTGTGTAAACAAGACAAAACCTCCATTAAACCATAAACTATCCAATATGCACAAAGTTATTGAACAAATCTAGTGCACAAATGTCTCCTTTATGTTACGTTGGCAGTATTGCAAACTCAAAGTGTTTTAATTTAAGATGGACAAGTGTCTGAATATGGGCATAATTTTCCATTTACCCTTCTGTGTCGGTTCTCGGCAGCAGCCAGCTGTCCCATCATCCTCTCCTGCATCCTCTTGCAGTGAGTCATGACTAGTTTTAGGACAGCTAAAGGGTTTGGGCTCACCGCCCGGCCGTGCGGATGTGCGTTGGGTTGCCGGAGCGTGTTCTGTCGCTCTGAGGCTTCGTCGTCCCGCTGCAGGGCCAGGTATGGGTCGCTGAGGTCATACTGGCCATAACGGTCTTGGACAAACTCATCTCGATGTTGCGCCTATAAATGTATATGGAAACAAAACAAAAACGTAAAATAAGGTACTTTGTGTAATGTCTGGAAAGATGTGGGGGCTCCCAAACTGTATGAGCTTATTTCTTATGAACAGATGACATAACAAAAGGTACAAGAATTGGAATGATTGGCTAAGATATGCAGTCATTCTAGCAGGGAGATAAATTCGACAGTTTAAACTGTCTTAAGTACAGCAGTTTCATTGAGTACACCTCAAAAGCCACTGACGTGTCCGACTGTGACATTTTGTTCTTTTTTTTTTTTTATATATATTTTTTTTTTTTTCATTTTTTTGTCATTTTGTTTTAAAATTCAGGCAGTGTTGCCACATCCTCCTCAAATGTGTTGTAGTGGTCGAAGGAAAGAAATGCAATCAAAAAGATTCAAACAACAAAAAACACAAAACAACATTACGAAAAAATAATCTCTGTTCAGCTTCCTTTTGATAGATTGCTCAATACCAGCAGTACGTGTCCACTTATGTTTTGTATCATATATTTTATCTCATCTAAATAACGCTTTAGAAAATCCCTATAATAATTAGAAAAACAAACAATAGCAGGTTGAACTGTGGGTGAGAAATTATAGATTGGTTGCTATTACATGTGATTCTCGAAAGTCGTCACATGTTTTTGTTCTGATTGCATTTATTTTGATTTCAGTTTTAGGAGGACAGATAATAATAATAAAAACAAGGTGTTCAGGCATCTGTTTGTTCATTTGTGCGCAGGAAGTCTGTACTGGGTGCTGTTATCATCAGGAGAGCAAGCAGATGGCTGTTCCTGTCAACCCAAACACAAAGAGATGAGGCACTGCTGTTCCACCCCCACAAGGGGCAGATGTTAACTCCTCTCTGGGCATGCAGGGGTTAAGGACTTTAAATCCCTATTTTACTAACAGACACAAATGTCTGCTTATAAAAAGGTAACATTTTATCTCCAAAGAAAGGGTTTCAAGTCAAACACAGTAATATGATAACAAAATGCCAAATAAAGCTGAAGTTTTCCTGCACATATGTTAAAGTAGTTTTTAATGGATACATCATGGGGCCTCATTGACCTCCAACCTGGTCACAGTGTCATCAGGGGGTCTCATTAGCTGCACAACAGTTCGTTGGTTTGAATTCTGGGGGCATTGGGGGTCAGTTTTTGGTCTCGTTGAATAAAGCACACCCGGAAGAGTTCACACCATTTGACACCAGGACACCTTTAAATTTTCTTTTATGCAGTCTTCAGCAGAATCTCTGGTCCACAAGCCAAACAACGCTCTGCTTTTCAGCCAGAACATCTCGTTTCTCAGGTTGTCTCATTTTAACACACAGACAATCTGAGAGAGCTCAGAGCAGTGATGGTGTATACAAGGCTTATTTTTTTTTGGGAGCTAAAATGATGGCAATTTGCCTAAGAAAACCTAACAGAACCTGCACTCATCTTTTGTAATATGACACATTGCCTCCAGATCTAATTAGGTATACTTCAAAGCATGAAGATTATCCTGTTTATGTGTATCTTAATTTGCAATAGACCTGCAGAACAACAAATGTACACTCTCCTATGTTAGCAGGGTTTGCACCGCAGGCTTTAAATAGGCCATTAAATATTGCACTCTAAATGCGTATAGAGGCCCAGTCAGGATAGGTCTGATCATAATGACAGGGTGTGCTTTCCTTTATGACAGGGCAAGACAAGCCAACCCTGGCAGCAGTCAAGCTCTCGTCCCTGCCCAACAGCTGATGTTTGTAGCCATTTGTGGGAAATAACATATTGCATAAGAAATATTTACTGCTGTATTCTTGTATCGTGGATAATGTTGAATTTGAATTGCATGTGCTTGGGCATGTCAGCCTCTACTGCATTCCTAGAGCAAAAGTTAAAATATTAATTTCCACTGGAAAACTTGTTCAGTCACCTATAGCTCTGGGGGATAAACTAGGTGTTTTGAGCCACAGAATTGAATTTCTTAACTGAGTTCCTAAAATGAATCACAATGAAGTCAGCGGTGAACATGAACAACACCCCAGCTGCAAAAGGTAGCGCTTGCAGTTCTCCAATTACAAATCCAAACCTTTCCTTCTGACTCAGCTATTACCATTACAAAGGAACAATGGACATTCTCATACAGCATCTCACCAAAGTCAGAATTCCCTCCCTTAAAATATTTGCAAATTTGTAACATGTTATTGTCAAATTCATGAACATCACATAAGGTGATGCAAAGTAATCAGTGCACTGCTTGTGCAACAATGTCAGTCTGCTGTGTTTTTAGAAAAACTCAATACAGCCAGTTACATCTCCTGCCCCCCTTGAACTTATCACACTTTGTCATGTTACAACCACTGCCCTTTAAAAGCACTGCATGTAATCTACCAACACAAAGTAGCACCTAATCTCAAAGGGAAAGAAAAAGTTTATTTTTGTTTTTTAACAAATAAACATTTTAAAGGGTTTTCCATGCATATGTGTTCAGAACAACCTTTGTTAAGCCATGACTCCAGGTCTTCTGGGTTATCCCTTAAAAACAACTCTAGCTTAGTCAAAAAATATGGAAAAGCCTTGCTACACAATATCCATTACACAAAGATCTTGACTTTGATTGGCAACCCTAAGACTTGAATATATTTTGAATTAATCCAGTCTATTTGGTCATTTTTTATTCATCTGAACAATATTCTCAAACTTAAGTCTACATGCACTACTCTAACCAACAAAGATCTGGTTTAATATATATTCTAAAACACACTTCTGATAAAATACTAATAGAAAAATAAATATCCTTAAAAAAGTCATAGAAAAATCATTAAATCACAAATATTCCTCCTCCAGTAGTTCAATATATATTTCTAATATCAAATATCTCAGTGATTAATCAAAACAATAAAAGTAAATAGTGAATAAATATTGTAGAACTGACCTATCAGCACAGGTATGAAAAAAGATCAGTTTTACATTAACAATACTTATTATTTCAATGAAACTTTCTATAAAAGTATCAAGCAGAACTTTATGGCAGCAGTCATACTGGAAATATATTGCCAAATCTATATTGGCTAGACAGGACACACACACACACAAAAAAAGAAACAAACAAGAGAAAAAGATCACTAGTTTTTTTTTTACATGAAAATAAACGACAACAACAACATAATTGACAGCATCAGCTCTTTGCTACCACTGAAAATAATAAAGTCATAGATTATTTAGAGAGAAAATTTGAAAAAGAACTTTCCAACATAGTATATTGAACATTTAATGGATTGCCACTGCAATTCCAGGGAGCATAGAAATATATAGAAAGTGCAATGCCCATTTCTATGACTTTAATATTCCACATCTCAAGCAATGAAAATGTTAAAATGGAAATCAATTCTTACTTCTGTTGTGAAAAAAGCTACCACTGCAAAGGTGATTGATTACCACATCTTTTGCAAAGATCTAAAATAGCTGTTAAACTTATAAAATGTGTGCTTGGCTGAGTGAAAGGAAATCTAAAAGAAAAAAAAAAGGTTGCACTTTTTTAGCTAACAATAAAAATGATGAAAATTGCTCTGTCGCTCAAGTTTTAAACAACCATTAAGCTCAGTCTTAAGTTGAGGACTTGTCTTGGTCTGCAAACTAGAACTGGAAAAAAAAAAGGGACTTGTTGGGGCAAGACTTCCGCTTATACAGTTCTTGCCTGGGAGCAGGATTACAGTCTCTAAATAACATTTGAATGAGCCGCAGAAAGACAGAACCGAGATTACAGCCTGTTGTTTTATAAAACCTAATCAGCTGTGTGTTTAAGACTCAAACCATATCCCCCGCACCTGTCTCCCACACATTAACCACAGATGGCACTTCGACGGCCGCAAAGCACAAACCAAACATCTCAAAGTAATGTTTAACTGCCTGAAAAAGCTGTTTGTGATGAAACACTGAAGTAGCTTGTCAGCCTTTGCACAAACATCGCCTTCAGAGGGGCATAACATGTAGTATCGCTGGGCGGAACAAGGAAGTGCTCTGATTTATCTGCAGGAGTCAAATATTAAACTGTCAGGCAATTCATTGATATAGCAGCAGGATAACCCTTCATAGGAAATCAGTATTTCATCACTAACCACCTTAAATTAAACATTAAAGACTGTCTTTATTTTCAAACTGGGTCTAGGCAACATGGGTTGTGATAAAAACACACAATGAGCACATACTAAGTATATTTTCCCCATACATTAATTTGCACCATATCAGATGTGTTGCCTTATACTGTATAAGTGGTTCAATGATAGGGACCAGTGATGTTACAATGCTTTAAAAGGAAGCTGTCTGATGCCTTCTGCTCTTTCTTTAGTTATGAACAACATGTCCAAATTGGGCTTTGCCTCTTGAGTAGTTATAAAGTACACAGTCTTATCGGAGCAACCCACTCCTGCCAGGCCCTTTTGTTTATGGAGGCAGGAAAACATGTCAGCCTGCAAAAATAGACAAAACATTTTAGGACCAAAGGACATGACATCATGTGGAACAACAACAAAAAAAAAAAAAGTGCCCTGCTGAGAAGGAAAGGAAAAGTTTGACCACACAAAACGTGTTTGTAAGCTAAACAAAACCGAGTTAACTCATCTGTCAAACAGTGGTATATAAATCAGATCCGTCTGGAAAGCATGTGTTTAAAGTGTTTAGAAAAAATAACACCAGTTTGTTCTGTTTGTGGTAAACTAATAAAACAACATGCATTTTTTTCAAGATTTTTTGTTTCATCACCACAGGTTAAAAATGCTTTAGTGAGATTTTACAGTGCTCTGTACCATTTAGGTCAGGGGTTTAGGACAACCTAATTTTAAAGTTCATTTTGGCCTGCTTTATTCAGTGCATTTAGGCTCACTGTTCTGGTAGAAAACAAAAATGTAGCATTTGTGTTTCTTGTGCTTTGTGTAATGCATCTGTTCGGCCCCAGGGAACAATGCTGCCATCACCCTGCTTAACAGTTCTGCACATTTCTTACATTTAAAT